GCATTCAAATTGTTAACAGAATTTGTACTGGTATATGCTAAGTTACTTTAAAAACAACTTTACAAACACAGAAACATACCTTTCTTTACTGATGTCCATAACTGATCTTTATTGGAACATTTTTCAAAGTTTGATGGTAAACGTACATGTCCTGAACAGACATACCAAAACAATATACCAAAAGCATAAACATCTACACTGTTATCATAATGTCCACTGAATAGTTCCGGTGCCATGTGTATTGGTGTTCCTGAAAGTACCAGTAGATTATAACATTTTCTTTATAGTTGAAGTTTTCCTCTGGTCTTAAACTTATCCTTGTAAAATTTGGTCCAAAATAAGGTCCCCAGCACTGGCATTTTACAGATAATACATCATTTCAGTACAAAGACATTGTCTGGAGCATTTGGCAGTTGTAACAAGAATTATACTATATAAGTATGATCTGACAAAGTGACTGAGTGTATAACTAAGGTGTAATGGACTGACAAAGTGACTGAGTGTACAACTAGGGTGCAATGGACTGACAAAGTGACTGAATGTATTACTAGAGGGTAATGGACTGACAAAGCGACTGAGTGTATAAATAGGATGTAATGGACTGACAAAGTGACTGAGTGTATAACTAGGGTGTAATAGACTGACAAAGTGACTGAGTGTATAAATAGGATGTAATGGTCTGACAAAGTGACTGAGTGTATTACTAGGGTGTAATAGACTGACAAAGTGACTGAGTGTATAAATAGGATGTAATGGACTGACAAAGTGACTGAGTGTATAACCAGGGTGTAATAGACTGACAAAGTGATAGAGTGTATAAATAGGATGTAATGGACTGACAAATTGACTGAGTGTGAACTAGGGTGTGATGGACTGACTGTTCAATACTTACCTACAATACTACCACTCATCATAGCTTCTGGTTTACAAAAACCAAGATCTGTTATTTTACCACGGTTATGTTCATCTAACTATAAATATTATAAGATTTAACCGACAAGAGTACATTGAAAGAACCATAAGGTGTAAATTATGGTAAAAAAGAAAAAAGCAGCCAGTTTGTAAAAAGAACTTAAGTTCACAAGATCCTTTCTACCGACCGATCCTTTGTCAAACCTATTGGCTTTGGACTTTGCTGGGTTATCCATACTTATTTACAGCTAGATTGGAATAATGAGGAAAGATTATTTATCTAGGTTAGTCTAGTCTAGGATACTAGACTTCCATATGCTGAGTGAGATTTGAGCCCCAGATCACCATTTTCTAGAGGTAACAAAAGTACAGTACTAGCTTCTTTAATAACTACGCACATAACCTTTCAAGATAGCTTGCCAGGCAAGGTAATATACGCCCACTGGCAGCTTTGATTTTGAATAAAAATATTTAGCAGTACAGTAACAATCACCAGTATGAAAAATTCAACCTTCAGTTATACACTTCATTTGAACTCTTTAGGGCGATACTGAATAATATTGAGTATGAGTTACTGCCCTTGTTCTTGAAAACATGTTCAATCTTTAGCTCGTGAAAACTCTAGAAGACAAATATTCAATCTTCAGCGCGAGAATCATGCCTTCTACAGTTTCTACGAGCTACAAATTGAACTATTTTCAAGAACAAGGGCAATAACTCATATTAAATATTTTTCGATTTTATCGATTTTCAATAGGGTTCATCCTCATCAAGATTTCAGCAAGTTTTGTCAATATCCATTAAGAATTGTGACTTGTAGAGTGCTTTTTACCAAGTTTTGTCAAAATCCAGCAACAATCATGCCTTATAGTGTTTACAAGCTAAAAATTAACACGTTTTCAAGAACAAGGGCATTAACGCATACTAAATATTTTCCAATTTTTCTGATTTTCAATAGGGTTCATCCTTGGGTGATTATGAACACTAACATAAAGTTTAGTCAAAATCCATCAAGAATTGTGCCTTCTAGAGTGTTTACGAGCTAAAAATTGAACGTATTTTCAAGAACAAGGGCAATAACTCATACTTAATATTTTTCGATTCTTCTGATTTTGAATAGGGTTCATCCTTGGGTGATTACAAACACTCATAAATATAAACCAAATGATTTAACCTGTGTTTAACTGAGAAGCGAAGTGTAGACATAAGAAGATCGCATTGCGTGCAGGTAACATGTCTTTTTAGGTTCTGTTATATATAGTGTTCGAATGATAATTATTTCATCAATTTGAAAGTCCGCTTAATGGGACATAAACATCTTTTCTTGAAAAAAAAATTTAAAATCTGTAATCTCTATAATATAAAAAGCATACCATACCAAGGTCATTATTTTTGTCAAAATTTGTCCCATGAACATATTAATGATAATACGATATAATCTTGCCTGAGAGAAATCACCATGGAATACCTTGTAAGTGACAATAGTCACTTTTTTTTAATTTTATAAGAATCAAAGGTCATATATATAAAATTTTAGAAATATTAAAACAGAACCTAAAAAATCTTGTTGTTACTCAGAGTTTCATGCTATGTGGTCTTCAGACAACTGACCTACTTTCAGAACATTTACAGAAATAGAAAGTGAAATTTCTAGTTTTGAAGGGATTATATGATTTTAGTATACTTCTAGTACTATTCTGACGGCTATTAACATATATTCAAGACTTTAATCAACCCTCAAAACTGTTAAACATAAATTGAATCACTATAAATCTTGCAATAAACATTTAAAATATCTTATATTAATGGTATCTCTAAGATAATGAAAAATGATAAATCAAACTGCCTTTAACAATTAATTCTATGTTTTTTTTTAATTCAGCAAACAAAATAGAAAAATAAGTGGAATAAAATGATATTTCAGCAAAAAATAAAAGAAAAATAAATGGAATTAAATGACAATGCAGCAAACAAAATTGAAAATTAAGTAGAATAAAATCATAAATAAACCACCATAGAATGCCCCTTTAAATAAAGTAACTTACTAGAACATTTTTAAGTTTGATGTCTCTATGGACTAATCCCTGTCCATGTAAAAATCGAATTCCTTCACCAACATCCATAGACACTTGTAATCTGCAATCATAGATTAAAAATCAAAACTTCATTGATTCGGATAATCCAAAAGGAATTTGATGAAATTGGATAGTTGCATAAGCCTACTCTTTTTCATTTAAGTGATCTTTGATTGGTACAACCTGTTGCCATTGTCCTTAAAACCAGAAAAGGTATTAGGAGCAAGCCAAAAACCACAATCAGGTACATTGCAATAGCCATACTTACCTACTGGTCCAGTCCAGTCCTAACTGTATAGCAGTGTAGAGATCTTTCTGTAATCTGTCCATTATCAATAGAACAGCAGGTGTGGTTCCACCTCCATACAGATAATCTATAACAGATCCTCGTAGAGCAACAATCCTTTCATGCTCCGGAATATTCCTGAAAATGGAACACAAATGATCTAATGTAGATCAGGTCTGGGGTAATTTTATTCTGTTACTGTGATCAATTGTAATCGATTTTAAGATTCAAATTTGAATATAATCAGATTTGTATTCGAGTATTTTTTCAATTACATGTAGTGTAATTGTAATAGATTATATCCACAAAGAAGCTGTAATCATGATAACTTTAAGAATTTTTTTTTTTTTATTTATTTATTATCAACTAACTGTTATTAAGAAAATAGGTATGTCCTAACCCTTAATGAAAGTATAAAACATACTTGTTATAGAAAAATTCCAAAGCTAAATCATTCCAATGTTTTTCATCTGGTGGTACCACTGATTTAATAGCACAAGGATGTCGTCCGGCCCACTTCTCACAAGCATATACTACACCATACTGTCCTCTACCAATCTCTCTACCCATCTGAGGCATACCTTCAATACACATAGACAAAACAGAGTAATGGCAGCTCATGACATATATTTATCACAAAACAAGAGTACTGGAAGCTCATGACATACATCTATCACAAAACAAGAATAATGGAAGCTCATGACATACATCTATCACAAAACAGAGTAATGGAAGCTCATGATATATATTTATCACAAAACAAGAGTACTGGAAGCTCATGACATACATCTATCACAAAACAAGAATAATGGAAGCTCATGACATACATCTATCACAAAACAAGAATAATGGAAGCTCATGACATACATCTATCACAAAACAGAGTAATGGAAGCTCATGATATACATCTATCACAAAACAGAGTAATGGAAGCTCATGACATATATTTATCACAAAACAAGAGTACTGGAAGCTCATGACATATATTTATCACAAAACAAGAGTACTGGAAGCTCATGACATACATCTATCACAAAACAAGAATAATGGAAGCTCATGACATACATCTATCACAAAACAGAGTAATGGAAGCTCATGATATATATTTATCACAAAACAAGAGTACTGGAAGCTCATGACATACATCTATCACAAAACAAGAATAATGGAAGCTCATGACATACATCTATCACAAAACAGAGTAATGGAAGCTCATGATATATATTTATCACAAAACAAGAGTAATGGAAGCTCATGACTTACATATATCACAAAACAAAAGTAAATTGTTACGGTACCTACCATGTAAAACATGATCCTTTAAAGATGTACTTTCTAAGGCTAACTTAGACACTTTAGGAGCATGAACTTTTCTTAGTTTAATTCTTTGGTCCTCTATTTTATCTAATCTACCAGTATGGCGTTGATCTAACTGTTTCAAGGCTGCACCAAATGATTCGTGTGATTTTTGCAGTCTGTCTTTAATTTGTCCAGCAATACTTTTAGCAAGTCTGAAAGAAAATATCATTTAATAGGCATGTTATAACATTTATCTATTATAACTTTATAAACAATTTCTGATTTATATTCATCCAATGAGAATCATTTTAGCCAGAAAATGTTCAGGACTGTGAAATTTAAAGGACTAAAAGCCCCAGAATATAGTGCTGGACAATAAACCTGTATTAGATAAATACCGGTATAGTAATTTATATTGTTAATAATATCACCTGATATCGAAATATTGCTATATTATGATATATGATAGTTATCATGAAATTTAAATCAAGAAGCTGTCTAATGAAATTGTGCCATTCACCTTGCTTCACTTAGACTATTTAACATGTCAGATGCCACCGTTTTCTTCCACTCATCATCAATTTTAGGAGGTGCATTCCATGGCATTGATCGTACTAGCTATAATGAATAAACAATATTCAAAATATATTTAATAATTATAGTTATTTGACCAATTGTAAATTTTTTAGTTAAGCTAATAAGTAATACAAATTTATGCCTTCAACTACATGTGTGTCCAGAATTATCTGAATTTAAATGTTATATTAACAAATCGTTTTTTATAGCCATATAAAGAAGAGACATAAAGTGAAAGTGAAGACCCAAATGAACCTCTGAAAAGAGCGAACCATGGTCTTTAATGTATACTAAGTTTGATTGCTGTGGCATACCTCCTCCTGAGTCAGCCAATAAACTTTTCAGCCCCTCCTCGTATTTGAATGTAATTTTACCTGTTTCATTCGATCTAGTAAAACTTTAATTAAAGATGAACTAGATCTGACTGTAATTTCAACTTGATATGCTGCATTCAAAATCTGAAATAGAACAATTTAGTTACTTACATACCAGTCTAAAAGCAGAGTTAAAACTGTATGTAATGATGAAAACTTTTGAAAACTTACTTTTAGTAAATGTTATAAACAAATGTAATTAATGTAATAATGAGCGATCACTACCTCTATTGACATTATCATGACTGATTATACAATGTATAAATCTGTATACATTGGGAGAAATAATTCTTTAACAATTCTTGTTATTTTGGAAACTGGTGCATACTTCTCAGTTTTTCATCATTGACAAATTGAGTAATAATTCTACGCATAGTTTTACAAAATTATCTCAAATAAACACCATGAATCAATTGGAATCTAGATTAAAAGATGTTTATAATATTATTTACCTGTTTTAGGGCATCTGTTGTTTTAGCCTCTTCTGAATTTTCTCTTTCACATTCTAAACTTTCTAGACATCTTGTCAAGGTACCTGTTGGAGAATACAATTCAACAACTTCATTTGGTTTCTACAGCACAATAACACACATTCAACTTTGTTTTTAAATGCTCAATTTCTGACTCAGGACTTAAAGGATAGCCCTTTAACAGCTTCAAGTGAGTCATAAACCAAGACCTTCACTGTCATACCATGCATGAATTCTTCCAATAGAAAAACAGCTAACACTTCAATTCAGCAATCTTTTCGATACCTCTTCAATAATAATGTACAATCTGAACAATGTTGTTACATATTGCTAATATAAAAGTTGCTATTGAAGGACATGACAATAGCAAGTTTGCCAACCCATTGAATGGGAGAACCTCATTTATTTTGTTAATACATTAAAGGGACAGATTTCCCATCCTCTTGACAAATTATACTTTAGTCTCAAAAATGGGAATTTAGCTAATCAGTAATGCTGTACGCAGCTCAACGTCGAAACTTTAGCCTTCAAATCATGTTTGAGTCTAGAATTATCAGCGTCTAAATGTTATCTCTTGAGATTGTACCATACATATAGAAAGGACATCTATATAGAAATGGAAAGTGAAATTTCTAGTTTGGGTATTTTTGAAAGCATTATGCCATTTTTTGTACATTTCTAGTACTTTTGGAGATTAATTTATACATATATTCAAGAGCCAAATATAAACCCCTGAAAATGGCAAACCTGTCCCTTTAAATCTTGATTGATGAAAATAAAAAAACTTACCCGTATAAGAATCTCGTAATAAATTAACAGAACTAATGAGTTTGCCTGCTATATTATGGTTTAATTTATTTAGAACTAGCTCCTGTATCTGACCAGTACATATCTTTAACCCTTTAATAGTGTTAATTTTACCATCATCGTCTATATCAACACCTACAATATATCACATCAATATATCATATCAGTATATCACTTTGATAATTTAAATCAATATATCACATCAATATATCATATCAATATATCATATCAATATATCATAGCATATCAATATATCACATCATATCAATATATCACATCAATACATCATATCAATATATCAGACCAATATATCATGTCAATACATGTGTATCAGACCAATATATCGCATCAATATATCATATCAATATATTATATCAATATATCAGACCAAAATATCACATCAATATATCATATCAATATATCACTTAGATATTTTACATCAATATATCACATCATATCAATATATCACATCATATCAATATATCACATTGTTATTTTACATCAATATATCAGACCAATGTATCACATTGATATTTTACATCAATATTTCAATATATCATATCAATATATCATATCAATAGGGTTAGTATGATTTACAAATGTTTACTTTTGGGGTTTTTATTTGGGTTTACTACACTCTTCTATGATCTGATGAAATTGTCATGCAATGCTATTCATATTAACTAAAATATTCAACCTATCATTCGATCAAATGACTTCAAAAGTAATCTAGTCAACTGAAATTTGTTCATATAGTGTTAGAAACTGTTTTGTGAAAGCAAATGAAAAAGAAAACATATGGAACATCTTAAGATGTATACTAATAATCATATCAAATTAATATCAACATCGGCTGCAAATCGTCAATTCATTTAAAAAAAAGTGTAACAAGACATTCAAGGTAAAGTTAGTTTCATATAACACTTCTTGTATGGTCTATAGTTTGTATCTGGGAAATATTGTGATTCATATGAATGGTTTTTTTGGTTGAAAGCTGTTATTATTGCATGCCTATATTTTAAGCTAAATTAGTTTTAAAAACATGTTACATGGGTGTGAGGAAAATAAAACATTTGTTCAAGTGTAACTATAATGTTATCTTTTCTGAGTCATGAATTTTTTTTCTATTAATTTATTACTTAATAATATAAAATGCAGATTTCATATTATCATAATTTTTTATTTAGTATGGTTCTCTATTCCCTATATATTTCCTTTCCCATTTGATTAAATAGACGTTATAAAACTTTAACAATTCTGTGAGCTTGTTAATTTTAGAAATTGAAGGATTATATTCCTTTGAAGCACAAAAAATGTGTTGAACCTTTCCAAGAGGCTAGTTTTATACTAGACCAAGTTTTGAAATAACCTAAATATATCATATAATGTTTAAAAATATAGGAAGAGGAAAAATACTGAAAATTAAGGAAGCTATTTCACTATATCAGACTACAATAAAGTCAAGTCTTTAAATGGCATTTAGCATTATAATATAAACACAGCTTTATTGAACAACAATCATTGGTTAAAGTTTCATGCAACGTTTCAATGTGCTTCTTATTTACCTTAGGGCAACAGAAAACATTGAAATGTTGTATAAACTTTAACCAATGATTGTTATTGTTCCTTTAGCTGTGTCTTTATATTATATACATTAAAATTCAACAATTTTAGATGTCAATTTGACCTGAATGATGTATGCTAATTAGATGCCAGGTCATTCTGATGTCATCAAAATCTACTACTATATTTGATATAACCTAATTAACAGTTAACATCTACACTACATAGGCCAGTGACTTAACTTTTAACAGACGTGGGTGGGGTTGCTGACAACAACTTTGCTTTCTCATTGTTATAAAATAAGATTATTATGTTGTAATATTCATTATCTTCATACTGAAATACAATACCTTTTATTTCTATCTACATTCTATAATTCCAGTTCTTGAGCTATGATTAAGGTGTTTAACTCTTAATAGCTGTTTCCTAATTTCTAATGTCTAGTTTCAATTATTATTTCTTCAATAAGTTCAAATCAAACATTAAGTCTACTAAGAATTGTGCAAAATGACAAATTATAACATCCATTTTTAAAATATTGACAATACAGAATGAAATAATGAGGTGTTAAAGAGATTGTAAAGAGGTTTTCTAAATTTTGTATTTGTATCAGGGACACTGATAGCATCAATTTGCAACATTCCAATTTTCTAGCAGACACCTGTGGTTGCTGCAATACCACTAAAACTAAGCCTTTTATGAAGTCACGATCGCAAAAGCTGTTATTGATTATGAGGACCTTTGAGTTAATGATGTCATTAAACATTTGCAGAAAGCTATGACGTTTGATTGAAATCGGTGCTAAGAGAGTCCCTGGTACACATATAATGGTTAGAAAACAATCTTTAAAAACACTTTAAATGAGAGAAGAATGCAGTAATAAGGTTTTGATATGGTTATAATAATTTAATATGAATTAATCTTAGATATAATTGATAAGCTTGAACTTATCAAAATCAATTGCTTAATTTTTTGGGCCTATTGGCAGTTTTGCCCTCTCATGGATCGTTTATTTCAATATGATAAATCAATTATAGTTTTTTATGGCATAATCATCTCAACTTCATGGTGGTAATTTTTTTTCACTGGACTAGGTCAAGGCAAACTGGTCATACCATATTTACACTTTCTATATAACCTCCTTTATAAATCATACTTGAACTTTTCACTCTTGTGGTTTTCAGTTTTCTTTACAAAGGTCAGAAAAGATTGCATAACTTTTTGGCTGATAAAATTTGGAGATAATTACTTGTTTGTACTCTAATAGAAAATTTTCTTGAACATTTTACAGCCTGATACCTGACAGCATTAATTCAAGTCGCACATATATTATGTCAAAATTTCACAAAACCTCTTTCATTAAAATGTCTTAAAGAGATTGTAAAGAGTTTTTCTAAACTTTTTATCAGAGACACTGATAGCATCATAACATTATTCAGGTCTCTGACCTTTGAAGGTCTTGAAATTCCACTTAAACCAAGTTTAAGGCTCTTAGTTATTATTTTCAACTGAAGTGATTGTGAAGTTAAACATTTCTATCATTACAAATAAAACAATTGAAACATTCCATGCAAATTAAATTTGTCCAAATGTGGTATCAATTTTTGATACATCTCATGGAGTATATGAGTGTTTTTGTTGATTAACAGGTGAATGTTTTAAACCACCAGATATCACTGTAACGTTTACTTTAAAACCTGTATCACATCTACTATCAGTTGTTGTTATCTGGTTATCGTTTATTGACCCACTATCATCAAATTAATTTCCTAATCCTTTTCATGGGGTAATATTATACAGGTCTTCAGATAAAGAATTAGGTCAGTCTAGACACTTAAAAAGGTGTACCTGAAGAGCCATTTGAATACTTTAATCAATATCCACACTTCATTTTCAGAATGTCAAAAATCAATATTTTAGCCTTATAAAAAGTCAAATAATTCACATTTTCCTGGTGAAAAGGAAGGATTGAATATTCAAATCACAGTAATCCTTCAATTCAAATTTATTGCAATGTAAACAAATTCCTGTAACTTGTTCTTTATATCTAATAATAACTCATACTTGTTTTATATCTAATAATAACTCATACTTGTTTTATATTTCATAATAACTCATACTTGTTTTATATTTCATAATAACTCATACTTGTTTTATATTTAATAATAACTCATACTTGTTTTATATTTCATAATAACTCATACTTGTTTTATATTTCATAATAACTCATACTTGTTTTATATTTAATAATAACTCATACTTGTTTTTATATTTGATAATAACTCATACTTGTTTTATATTTGATAATAACTCATACTTGTTTTATATTTAATAATAACTCATACTTGTTTTTATATTTGATAATAACTCATACTTGTTTTATATTTCATAATAACTCATACTTGTTTTATATTTAATAATAACTCATACTTGTTTTTATATTTGATAATAACTCATACTTGTTTTATATTTCATAATAACTCATACTTGTTTTATATTTAATAATAACTCATACTTGTTTTTATATTTGATAATAACTCATACTTGTTTTTATATTCAATAATAACTCATAACTTATACTAGTTTTTATATCTAATAATAACTCATACTTGTTTTATATCTAATAATAACTCATACTTGTTTTATATTTAATAATAACTCATACTTGTTTTATATCTAATAATAACTCATACTTGTTTTATATCTAATAATAACTCATACTTGTTTTATATCTAATAATAACTCATACTTGTTTTATATTTAATTATAACTCATACTAGTTTTTATTTTTAATAATAACTCATACTTATTCTATCTTTCACATTAATGTGTGGGCGTATAAAAACTGACTCTTTTACTTACCAATAAAATCATATTCCATGGCTTGTTCTACTAATTCATTATGCATTGAACTTATTGTCTCTGATATCAACACTTTAACATCCTCTAACTTAGACACAGAAATCTGTAACAATGACTTATATAGTTCTTCCTCCTTTTCACGAGCGAATTCCAACTTCTTGGGTGTAATTAGTATGTCCCTCGCCATATCAAATGCTGATAGTATAAACATGTTCAAACATCTATTATGAGAATTATTTAAAACAGTAGCCGCATTGACTAGAAAACGCTTCAAAATTTGTCTTGTAAAAGAGGAAAACTTCTGTGGAAATTTTTGAAATTGTTCGATTAATATGCTTTGCACTTCATAATAGTCTTGATTTAAATTCCGTCTAGATAATGACTGCAAGGAGTCTGTAGAGTCTCTGGTAAGTTTGTATAAGTATCCTAGTTGTGTGAGTTGTTCCCTGGCACTATTGTGATTTGAAAGATGTGGCAGACTAGAAGATCGTCCGGACGTTTGTAATTTTGAATCTGACAACTGAAAGTTTAGACTCGAACGACCAGGTACATCAGGTGCCCCATCTGGAGGATCTGTATCAACTGTTTTAGAACCTGGAGGAGGAACTCGAACAAAGCACACAGGTTGAAAATTTGTCATTTTGGCTAAATCACTTAGTTCTTCAATATCCTGAAATATAAAAGATAAAAGGGTGTGTTGAAGTCAACAGGTAAAACTTGGCTTTTGAATTCAAAGCTACAACTTACTCTGTATTATTTTGTGAAATACTAATTGTACAATTGGGCATCTAATTAGGTCTTAAATTTTCATCTTAAGCTATCAAAGAAATCATTACAATTTTTTAAGTGTATCAGAGACACTCAAAGCTTTGGTTTGCTCCTTTCCAATATTCCGTTAGATATGGGCATTTCCAACTCTAAAAACATTTTTAAGTAAAGGATCTTGACATGTTTTCAGATAAGAAAAAGCCTACCTTGTCATGGAGTTGTTCGGTAACAAAACCGTAAATAAGTACCGGCATAACATTTTCCATACAGGCCTTAAGACATTCTTCAGCAGTTTCATCTCGAGATGGAGACATGACCAAAGTTGATCCAAATCGAAGCAAAGGATGATTCAAAGAAACTTCTAATACAGCAGAATCTTTAGCATAGTCATCTTTGTCCTTAGCATCAAGCTCTAGGTCTTGTCTTGGAATAGTCTTCCAGGGATTGTTATATGCTTCGAGATTGTCCACCAGGTCGTAATCATCAGGAAGGGCCAGACTGACAGATTGTGTTTCACCATGTTTAAATCTCACCATTCGATACTGAACACTGTTATCTAGTAATGGTAGAATTTGTAATGAAAATAGCTCATTAACAATTCGAGATTTAGCATAAGGAGTCTGTCCCACTACAACTATAGTCTGAGATTTTTCTATCACTGACAAAATTTCTGTTTCTTCTTCTTTCAGTAATTCGGCAGTAACAATTTGAGCTGAAATAAATATATAATATATAGATTTTCTGTTTTCAGATAATATAAGGTACACATTGACTAGGAGGTGAATGCAAATTAATCCCCTGAGGCTGGTCACAGCATGGCTGAAATCATGACTTGCTCAAGACTTGAATAGCCCAGGATTTAACCAACAGAAGGGGATTAAATCCCCATAGACCAGCAAGAATGTGTCTGATGAATTCATCTGACAATATCCAAATGTTAATTTCTTAGTAAAATTCCTTCATAGCCTCATCATAGGATAATAATTTAATAGGATACCAAGACTTATTCTACATGTCTTTGAATAGAACTCCCCCTAGACTGTAGGCTTCAATTTTTATTCATGTTACAAAGAAAGATATTTTTTGTTTACTTGAACATTGAAACATATTCAATTGCCTTAATTTAAGTATTTGATTTGTGGCATTCAAGCTAACTTAACAACATTTTACAACTTTGCCAACACAAGGAATTAAAGAGTATTATTATCATTTATTACAATTATCATTATTTCCACTCAATATAATATCTAAGTAGGCCATACAATTTATTTGTATTTTAAGCTTATTACACAAAAACATATAAAGTACCGTATGATGTTGATTATAACAAAGCTAGAAAATATAAGCGTTTGCTTTTATCACTAAGGATCAATCTGAGATCATCACATTTACGTCGATTGATTTCCTCCTATTAGATCAAGTCTGTTATGGCATTATGGTACCGCACTTAAATAAATAACTCTCGTCTTTATCAACCTAAAAGGCAATGTTAGACTTTCAGAGTGGTATTTTGGAGTTGAGTTTTGCATTCATACAAATATGATCAGTAAAAATGTGAGTCTGTTAACATGGCCTGTGGTCCGACACTAATGACTAAGCCTTTCTGTCAGTGTTTGTACTTAAGGCAATTGGTTTTCCAACCTTTTTAAAGAAGAAGGCTGCGCAAAATTTAATTTTCAAGTACAATTTTATCAATATCATGCTCTGGTCAAGGTATTTATCTGTTTGCCTTGTTTTGTTTACATTTGATCATTATAGGCCTAGTTGATGATTAGCGTAGTTAGCACTTACTTCCATTATATTGTCCCGAATTATTGATGTCAGCAAAACTTTTTTTAGTATCCTCCAAGATATCATAAAGGCGTTGCGAGTGTCCACAAAATCGGTGGAGTTCGCTAGCCAAAGAATTGGTCATTTTGATCTCATCTGAACAGACTTTCAGTGGCACTGATTGAAGTCGGAAAGGAAAACAACAATCTATAAATAGATAAGCTCGTCGAGTATCTGTCGCGAGTAACGAGTTCACAGTGAGGTCAAAAAGTGATTTATTTCCCCTAAAATCCTCTCAAGAGGGACTCAAAAGCAATTATTTTCCCGATAGGAGATTTAAAAGGTTATGAGTGGAGGATGAATGACTGTTTTATAAAAATTGTTTTTAATTTATTCTTCAATGTCATTCTGTGCATTTCTTGAGTCAGGATATCTCCGTTTTGACCATCTCTAGGGTCTTTTGACATAAACTTCGGACCATTTTGACTACTTCCGTTTTAAATAGTGTCTGACGCGAGTAAGAGACAAGTTGTTTTTGCTTATTTTTGTTGTTGTTTATTTTGAAAGAAAATGTGTAGAATAATCATAGAGCTTTTTTTAAACACTGCAAGAGTATTTGGTATTTATCTGCTAATTCTATAGTTTTGCAATTCTGTAGATGTCACGATTTTGAACGACTTTCTTAAATTATTTGTTTTTTTTATAACAAATCCTCCCTTTAATATCCGTCATGCGCAATGATGAAAATACCCGCCATTATTTAAAACTGTCAAAGCAAGAACGGACTTGAACTTTAAAAATTGGGGTTTTATCTAGTTTTCTCGTTTGAATGAAATTTTGACGTAAACTTACACGATGGCAACAACTCTGGTAATATCAGTATTCAATAATATATCTTTTTGGTAAATTTAAGAAGTGTTTCACGACTTAAACGTTGAAAAACATTCTGTTTGTTTTTTGATTAGATGTTTGCATTAAAATTCAATAACAATTGACATTTGTACTTATTCTGAAGATATTTTGTTGCCGTGGAAACTTGAATAAAGGTTTATCACATTCTTTTAAACAGCAGGCTAGAATATGACTTCTGACCCCAATCGGTTCCACAACCACTATTAAATGGCTAGACCGGTTTATTTTCAATGTGTGCTAATAATGCATGAACCTATATCTAAACACATTATATAGTTTCTATAAATTTACCAGGCCACAGAGGAATCATTTAAAACATCAAATTTGAATTTTCCTATTATAATTGATACAAGGCCGGTGTTTTCTTGTGAATGGTTTCTTAGCGTCTGTGAAATTCCAATACATGCGCAGAAGGTTTTGTTTACAAATGGCAAAGAATTTTCGATCAGAAATGTATAAATTAACTTTGTATGTGTACTTCTCTGGATGTTACATTGTAAATTATGGATTACTATCATTATATAAAAATTCACAAAATCACAATAATGCCTTGAGAAATCCAGGAACAATTGTATGAAAGATTTTGTACCATTGATAATTAATGAACTTTTTCTTTCAGGAAGATCCGTCTTTGGAACGGCATTTCAATGGCCATAGAGACACAGTTACTAGTATGGATTTTAATCCAAATGCTACCCAGCTAGGTAATTATTTACTGTTTACACAGAAAAAAAATTCAGGTGGAGATATATGTAGTTCATGCTATCCGATATCTTACATTTTTGAATGTTTCAAATACCGGTACATACGAAACTTATAAGCTTACATATGTTTTGTTATATGGAAATAACACACATAAATGTAGTTTACAACCATTTTAAATCTCTTCCTCAACTTAAGTCAAATTTTGATAAAGGCTATAATATTTCAACTAAGCCTTCAAAGTTTAGAAATAGCTTTAATTGTGATTTGAAGGCTTTGTTGAAACATTGTATCCTTTTTCAAAATCAGACTTATTAAGTCAGAGAAGTGAATCAAAATGGTTGTGAACTACGCATGTGTGTGTTATTTCCCCATAAGAACCATACGTAGTTTCGTATGATACCATCATTTTTTATTTTAGCATCTGGATCAATGGATTCTTGTCTAATGGTATGGAATTTCAAGCCAAAAATGAGAGCTTATAGATTTGTTGGACACAAGGTAGGTGTTATTTTATAATTCTGCTTTCTCAATTAGTATATTAGGATAAGTCGATCTGGCAGAGATGAATAACATCAGAATTAGTATAGTACAAAGAATATTTTTGTGTTGTAAATTTCAGGATGCTGTTATGTCAGTTAGCTTTTCACCATCTGGTCATTTAGTAGCTTCAGCCTCCAGAGATAAAACAGTTAGATTGTGGATTCCTAGTGTGTGAGTATATATCTCATTAATATAGATTACAATAACAAAATATTTTCACTGTTATAACTATATAAAACAATATATCAATTGCTTGATAAAGATTCCTGTATGTGAATTGAAATGTTGCAAAAATTAAAGAAAGGAGTAGTATATCCTTAATAGTGTTCTTATTTATTTAATGTTCTATCTACTTCTAAATATCATTTAGAGATAATATATCAATTGTACAAATATTAAAACAGAACTTGAATCATCTTGTTTCATGCTGTATGATCTTCAGACAATAGATTAAACTTTCTATGTGTGTATATTACATTCTTCGTAATTTGGTAACATAGAAGATATAAGGTAATTGACTAAGGATGTTAAAAAAAACTTACTTGCTGAAAACAGGGAGAGAACCTGATGCTCTGATATTCAAACTTTTGGTACCATACTTCACTTCTGTTTAAACAATCGTATATTTGAGTTTTTCCTTTTTGCTGTTTTGTACAGAGAAAGTTGAATCTTTGCAATAAGCCTCTAATCTATTTATAGTAAAGGAGAGTCTACAGTTTTTAAAGCTCATACAGCTACAGTACGATCAGTTGATTTCTCTTCTGATGGTCAGACATTATTAACAGCTTCAGATGATAAAACTATCAAAGTAGGTTTTACTTTATCTTTTCAACAATAAATACAAAGTGAAATGGTGGATGGCATTGACAAATTAGGTGGATTGTCTAGCTTTGGGAACTGGCTGTAGCTCTGTTGAATCTGATATCTTAACAGTATTTGCTTAGTTAGGGATTTTAGCTTTGATTTTTGTAAGCATGCAGAAATTCTTGTAACCTTAATCGTCATTTTTTCATTCTTTTTATATGAAAAAAGTGAATGCAAATGATGTGAGAAAGATCAAAGGAGCACCATTTGGTCAGCAGAATCTCTTTGAAATAATCCCATCGACATTCTTGTACTGAAAAGTATGAAACTTTCTATTCCAGCTATGGACTGTTCACAGACAAAAGTTTTTGTTTTCTCTGACCAAACATATGAATTGGGTCAGATGTGCCAAGTAAGTACAAATATTCAGAAAATATTTTAGTTTCACCTTTTGAAATGATAAGTTTGTTCTGATGATAGCATTGGCACATCATTATTCTAGACCCAATGGGTTTTACTTATAATTTACATAGAAGTAATCAATATCTCAGAGGTAATAACGACTTTGCTATGGAGATAGATATAAGGATTTTCCATCAAATACAGATATTAATCACCTCATATTTTCTAGTTTTCTCTGTTTTTTTTTTTGTAGATTTTCACCAGATAACAGACTGGTAGTATCAGGTAGTGATGATAAAACAGTCAGATTATGGGACAGACAGAGTAAAGATTGTGTACATACCTTTTATGAAACAGGAGGGTAATTATTATTTTATTATTTTAGGTTTTGCATCTATGTACAGTTCCCCCTAGTGGTATATTTGTAGATTTATCAAACTATGTATAGTTTAAGCCTAGTTGTACATCTTTATATATATAGGCTTGTCAACTATGTGCATTTTACCATAGTGGTACATCTTCATATTTATAGGCTTGTCAACTATGTATAGTTTTATCTGTACATGTTTATATGTATAGGTTTGTCAACTGTGTATAGTTTCATCTGTACATGTTTATATTTATAGGTTGTCAACTATGTATAGGTTCATCTGTACATGTTTATATTTATAGGTTTGTCAACTATGTATAGTTTTATCTGTACATGTTTATATTTATAGGTTTGTCAACTGTGTATAGGTTCATCTGTATATGTTTATATGTATAGGTTTGTCAACTGTGTATAAGTTCATCTGTACATGTTTGTATTTATAGGTTTGTCAACTGTGTATAGTTTCATCTGTACATGTTTATATTTATAGGTTGTCAACTATGTATAGGTTCATCTGTACATGTTTATATTTATAGGTTTGTCAACTGTGTATAGGTTCATCTGTATATGTTTATATTTATAGGTTTGTCAACTATGTATAGTTTTATCTGTACATGTTTATATTTATAGGTTTGTCAACTGTGTATAGGTTCATCTGTACATGTTTATATTTATAGGTTTGTCAACTGTGTATAGGTTCATCTGTATATGTTTATATTGATAGGTTTGTCAACTGTGTATAGTTTTATCTGTATATGTTTATATTTATAGGTTTGTCAACTGTGTATAGTTTTATCTGTACATGTTTATATTTATAGGTTTGTCAACTATGTATAGTTTCATCTGTACATGTTTATATTTATAGGTTTGTCAACTATGTACAGTTTCACCCTAGTGGTACATGTATAGCTACAGCTTGTACAGATGGTAGTGTTAAAGTTTTTGATATCAGAATGAATAAATTACTACAGAATTATGTTGGTAAGGATGAAAAAAATAATGTCTTTTGCTTTGAATAAATTATGATTTTATTCTGTAAATTTCCAAGAGAAGAAATTTGGGGTCCTTTTGGTAAGGATGCCATGGCCAGTACTTCTGAGAGTTGGCCAGGTATTTACTCTCAACCCCTCTCACTATTCTTTAAGGAATATATACAGTCAGTATTTCTTTAAATCTTTCCTCTGTCTGTTTCAGCTCATTCAGCCTCAGTGAACAGTTTATCATTTCACTCTAGTGGTAATTATTTATTATCTGGATCTGATGATGCTACTTTAAAAATCTATGATTTAGCTGAAGGAAGAATCTTCTATACTCTACATGGACACCAGGTAATTTCTTTATAGTAAATAAATTTATTTTTGTAATATTACTCTTCTGATTATAAAACAGATTGTTTAACCCTTACAACAGTTTGCTGGCTACACAATTACATATACTAGCCAATACCTAGGGATGTCACTTGAAGTTAACATGTCATATTACCTAGAATATAATTATAACACTCAGTGTTCAAAGGGTTAAGACACATTTTGTATATTGTTCATACATTAAATCTCCTACTGTTCTCATTATATTGCTTAAGTGGGCATTGTGCTGCAGTCTATGCATGTTTCAGATCCCTCAACAGTTGGGAATTCAAAATAGTAGGACAAAATTTCCCTCATTGCACATTGAATGGTGTTACCTGCTATTAGCCCATCAGGTGCAGAAAAGTAGGACGTAAGACTTTTTAATATCATTTATTTGTTTTAGGGGCCTGTTACATCAGTTGCTTTCTCTAAAAATGGAGAATATTTTGGTTCAGGTGGTTCTGATCAACAGGTGAGCTGCAAGTTAAGATTTAATACTTATTTAATTTCATTCATGTCCTGCTATTGCAAATAGTATGAGACAAAAATTCAGAAAATATGACATATTACAGTTTATTTGGATATGTTTTATCAAAGTTCACAAAATCAGGGATGGCAAGTAGAGTCAACCAAACACATGAAACTAAACCAATCGTTAAATATATTGAAAAAACTGTCAATTCCTTAATTTATTTCTATCCTTATAGGTGTTTGCTTGGAAGACAAATTTTGATCAGATAGATTTTACAGCAGAAAAGAAAAAGAAACCAAGAGAAGTCTCACCACCAACAGTCTCAGATATACCCCCTAGAGTTAAATCTTATAGAGCTAAATCACCTAAAAGAGTAAGTATTTCATTTTTCTTACCTTTACTTTCCTTTATATTTTCTTGAACCTCATTTATTGAATTTACCTCAAGGCCCTGTACTTGATTTATCCCATTGTTGTAAAGTCATGATTGTTAGTTCCGCTATGTAATCTGCAAACTGATATTTTTCAGTCAATACTCAAGTTTCACAAACAGGCTTAGTTCTCAAGTTTTCACTTAAAAAGTCTTTTTGGAGCATTGATAATGGAAAGGATATGTGATATATAACTAATGAAGTTATATTTTCGAGATAATACAATATTTATAAACATTGATATTTTAAAAACAAATAAAAAGTAGAAATTGAGCATATATTGAACTTGTTGACTATTCAAAAGTGTTTTGGTTTCAGTCATACCATGTGAAGTTTACGGTTAGTGTTGAATAAGTTTCATGGCATGTCTATGCACTAATTACTATAATACACATATCACATGGTCATCATGGAATGCAACAATACTTGAATGATTCTTCCTTAAAGGATGTTTTATAAGAAATATTTGTCCACTGATATATATCGATCTTTTATCATATGAATATGTTTTTAAAGAGACAGATTCGCCATCCGTTTGCCATTGGTACCTTAGTCTCAGAAACAACAGGAATTTTTTAGCGAAGCTAATCTGTAATAATGTTCACAGCTCACTGTCGAAATTTGAGCCTTCAAATCCATGTATGTCCAGAATTATCCTCAAGTTAAAATGAGACATATTATAGAAAAGACATTATTTAAAAACAGAAAGTGAAACTCCTAGTTTGAGGTATTTTTGAAGGCATTCTGCTATTTTCATACATCTTTAGTACATTTTCTTATATTCAATATAACCCCTGAAAAGACGAATCTGACCCTTTAAATGAGGTCAAACCATGTCAATATGTTGTATTATGATCAATTTATGAATTATGTAAGCATTAACTGCATGGGTTTGTGGGATTTTTCTAGCTTGATGCACATTCAGATGTTAAGAATATGGAATTTGATAGTCAAGGTGTCACTGATATTGGACCTGCTTTTTTCTCTAATTATAAGGTTGGTGGCATATGCAAAAACACTAACAAATTTTCTTTGCATTAAAAATTTAAATTGTTTAAATTTTAAGCTTTAGACTAACCTAATAATTATTTTACTAGTAGAGTTAAAATGCATGTTAATTAATCACTTTGGTTAATTCTTGCTACATATGCTTTTCTTTGTGAAGTATTTAGATATGAGAGTTCTATACTATTCTCTTCTCAAGTTCTATTTGAATTTCATTTATTAATATGTTTGTTTTGATTTATAAATTACTCTTATGTAAGTTTGTCTCTAATTTGAAATGAGATATGAAAGTTATATTAAAATATCTTGGTTGATTTATATAAAAATGACTTGTATATAATCTTTAAATGATATTTAGAAGTAGATAGTTGACTTGTATATCATTTTACTATGATTTGTCTTTGTTATGTGGATGGTTGTTTGCTTCATAAGTTGCAAAATTTATGACATCACCTAACTCATATTGAAAAAAAAATTAATTCTAAGATTTTGAGCCTAAAGGTAATGATTTTCAGTTATAAACTGTTTGCTACTATGTGTTGATGTTTAAAATCTATTTTAACCTAAATAATGATTGCAATCTATTTCAGGGAATATCTTCAACAATGAATGGTTATCATTCTGATCCAGATGAGATATTAAATACAGAGAGAACAAGATCAGATAGTAGAGAGAGAGATAGTCATTATTCATCACGTACTGAGTATACAGATAGAGATAACAGTCAGCCTATAACACAACCATTAGAAGCTAAATCTTTACCTCCACAATTAACACATTTTATGGAAACAATAGCTGGTCAATTAGATATCTTAACACAGGTAACAAACCTTGTTTTAATCCTTGTAACACAATTGCTGCTTTTTTTTGCTATCCCAGATATCATTGTCGATTTTTAGTTACTTTACAAGTGTCTTTAAAATTGTTATTGCAATAATATTTCTTGCCCTTGGGCTTGCAATATCTTTTTGGGGAATTTAAAGTGAAAGATATGGTTGTATATTTCAGACTGTGTCACTACTAGAACAGAGGTTAAGCATGACAGAAAATAAATTACGTGAGTGTCTGGATAATCAACAAAAAATAACGTTACAAGTTCATTCTGCAGACTAAGCTCATATACATGACATGTACTGTATTTTATCAGTCTAATTAAAATTAGATCAAACTTTGGTTCTGGTTTTTTCTTACCATTCATTTTTAATATATATAGCCACTTCAGTTAGAGTCTAAAGACTGGCCTCTTAAGTATTTGTCAAAATAACCGTTTGACCTAATCTAATGACATCTGCTTTAACCAATTCCTTCACTCTCTCACAAAATACCAGTGCTGAAGAGGGAGAAATTTGATTGGTTAAAGCAGGGTTAGGTCAAAAGGTTATTTTGACAAATATATAATAGGCCAGTCTTTAGACCCTAACTGAAGTGGCTACATTAAAAATAAAAAAATGATAATAAAAAAAAGGAATGAAGTTTGGTCTAGTTTCCATTAGACTGGTGTTTTATCTGAGTAATTGTGATTGGGTTAATACCTATGTATATTGATATTTACTATACTAGCATGTTCATCATCATTTTACCATCAATTTTAACTGGTTAGGGTGGGACTGGAACATTATTTAGTCATATTTTAAATGATTATTAATAGAAGCACAAAAAAATATTTAACAGGAGTAATCTTGTGACTCTTGTTACTGATTGTGATCATGACTTGCTGGTTGTGATCATGACTTGCTGGTTGTGATCATGACTTGCTGGTTGTGATCATGACTTGCTAGTATCTTGCTATTAGTTGTGACCATTACTTACTATTTATTACATTTGAACACAAGATACTAAGGGTCACAAATTGCTATCTCATGCTATTCGCTTATCTACATATATGAAATCTACAGCATATTCTCAAGAAGTAAAAATAAGTATCCAAAAGGTGAAATCTTCCCACATCAATCTGATCTTTTTTCATCCGTCCATATTAATACTAGCATTTATACATTATATTTCTATCATCTTATAGTAGTGCCTTGTTTATCAACAAAGTAATCATTGTAAATTATTGTTTTTGATGGAAAAGCATAAGTTTTAAGTATAAGATTTTTATGAGCAAAGACTTATAATGAAAGAGTTCATACTTTTTTTCTTACTGACTAACAATAATAGCTTCATACAATGAATATTGAATTCTTAAGAATAATATAAGAATCTCTGATCTGGTAGAAGTAGCAACTCATTTGTATATTGTATTTAAGATCAACTTTGTATTATAACTTGTTAAATATTATTTTTAATGAAGAAATTATTTATACCACCATTCTATTTGTGTTATATTTGAAGAAGGGAGGGGTTAAAACTTATGATTTGAGATTTTAGAGCCGATATGATAATATCGATAACAATTTGTTTTGCCCCTGATCAATCAATAAAATATGTATCCTGGCCGCAGGTATTTTCAACCCTTTGAGAAGTGTGTAGCAAGATTGCAATCATGGGATATATTAGACTAACCTGAACTCTTCACTTATTGTTAAGGTAGTTTAAGTAGTAATGAATACAGTGTAGATTTGACCTGAATAGTTTCAATAACCAGTTATTTCACTTCAAAACCAAATGGACTTCTACCTGCTCCTGTTATCTTTGATTCACTTGCACCGACAAGGCCACATTTAGTCTTTAATCAACTATGGCTTGTGAAGATTTTGTCAACTGATTTAACAATTTGAGGAACATAATAATGTACAGTGTAGGTTGTTTCAAAGCCAGTAAATATGAGTGTAGAATGAACCCTTGCATAGTGAAACATATGCCCAAATATGTGTAAATGTCTTGCAGAATAAAATATGCTAGACTGATAGATATAAATAACATAAAGAATAATTAAATAGACAACATGATATAATTGAGATCAACAACTAAGATAAATACAATTATTCAATATTTCTAGAAAATAGGACACTTTGGAAGAAGAAAAGGCATTTAAATTTGGAACATTCTACATAAAAATACAATTTGACTAATTAGAAAACAAATACATATATTTATAAGATAATACAGCTATAAAATAACACTAAAAGAAAAATATGTGATAATAAAAAGATTTGACACAATTGAAGCTGTATTCTGTATTGTGATATGCAAATGTGGTGCTAATAAGGAGTGTGGTTGAGGGTCGGCTAAAAACTTGATCATCATGATTAACTGGATGGACTGGCGCCAATAAGGAATGTGTTCAATTAGCTAAAAGGTGTAAACTATCACAGTACATAATAAAAAATACATTAACAAGCACTTTATAAATAACTATCAAAATGGACGAATTTAAATAATAAATCTCAATTTTTCATTTTACAATTTATCACAATTTGAATATAAATCTCAATACCTTATTTTATAATCTAGATAATAAATCTCAATACTTCATATCTTATAATTTATCAAATTTTGAACATATAAATGTACAGAGATTCTTCATTTTTCAAAAAAAAATATTCATGTCAAATAAATATTCATAATATCCTATAACATTCTAATTTCATCTAGAGGATTGCATGCCCTGCAAAAATGCTGAGCTACAAAGTTGTTGATAAAAATGTTCTCCCATTGTCTGACATGTTAAGGTGTTTAAGGTATCCTTAATAAAATATTAAATGTATGAAGATGGTCAATAATAAAATTTCAAATAAATACAATTTTCTACAGATAAATCCTACTTCAGGTGAATTAATATACAATTAAAGCCTATATATATTGAATTTTCTAAATGTAAACATACAGAAACTAAAACATAATCACAGATAGTAAAACATAAAATCACAGATAACAGAGCTATATTCTCATATTCTATTCAACAGCTACTTGTCTATTCTGAAATATAAATAAACAAATCATTATAATACAATATGTAAGATATGATTGCTTTATTCAAGGATATGATATATAATAGTCAAGAGTCAATTATGTGCTTACAACCAATATAACAGTTACAAAGTTAAAAAGTTACATTATACAAGCAATAAAGCAAGACAATTACTGTTATAAATGTAACATGAAACATGAAGGTACAAGGTCAGAATTAAAAAGCTCACTCAAGAAAAATTTTGATTTGCATCTATTAAAAATTTTGTAGCAATTTAAAATGTTCCAGTAATAAACCTTGAAATATACAATTTGATTCGCAGGTTGTCATGATAAATTTTAATTTGGCTAATCAGAGGAAATATTATATTGCTAAAGGCGTCATTTTGAATCGCAAACTGCAATGCGATACCCCTTAAATTGAACCCTGGCAGGGTATGTCAGGATTGATTTTGTGATAGAGGGTGCTATATTTGGATACCTTTTTATGGAATGAATGAAATTTGCCATTTCCATTTGCAGTGCAGAGTGTGTTGCTGTTTGTAAAAAATTTTGAGCTGATTTTGAAAATGAACCTACCATTATTTCACCCTTTAAACTCATAACACGTTGATCTTGTCTGCGTAATTCTTCTTCTTTTGTACTAAGTTGATCTTTTAAAGTTTTTATTTCAAAGTCTTTCTTTTTTAATAATTCTTTCTGTGCTCTTTTTTGTAATATTGACTGAAAAATATAACATATTGCATACATAAAATAACAAAATATTACACTGTTAAAAATAGTGTTCAATACACCAATTTTTTTGTGAGTAATATTTTCTTCATTTATATCTTAATTACCCCATTAATATAGTAATTTTTAATAATAGAAATAGAAGTTTTCTCATCTATGTATTATCTATTTAGCTCTTGAAAATCTATTTATTTAAATTCTCCATACCTTATTATCATCTGATGTATTAGATGGTTTAGGTTTAGATGGAGGTGATTCTAAATGTATTCTTTCATTTTCTAAATGGAATGTCTGAAATTAACATAATCAATATTACCAATAATATAAATCAATAACATAAATAATATTATCCAAAATAATAATGTAATCAATAGTATTATCAATAATATAATCAATTATAATAATATAAATAATATTGATAATGAAAACAATAATATAAATAATCTTATCCAAAATAATAATGTGTTCAATAGTATTATCAATAATATAATCAATTATAATAATATAAATAATAATATTAATAATGAAAACAATAATATAAATAATCTTATCCAAAATAATAATGAAATCAATAGTATTATCCATAACATAATCAATTATAATAATATAAATAATAATATCAATAATGTAATCAGTAAGTAATCTTGAAGTTTTAGAGTCTAATCCATTCTCAGTAGCTAGTACATACAAATGAGAACAAACTACTTTGTACAAACTAAACACAATGAAGTTTCTTATGTTAATGTTACCTTTTTCTCTTTAATAGCCTTATTTAATCTGATTTCTTGATTTAGTCTTTCTTTTGTTCTGTTTAAACATTCTCTTAAATACATTGTTTCTTCAGATCTTCCTTGTACATCATTCTAAAATAAGAAACAGAAAATCATGTAATATACAGGCCATGCTTTTCAAAGGACTTAGTTGTAATCCTCTCTAATACTGAAATCTAAAAACAACAAAGTCGTCTGAAAATATGCTTTATAACCTGATAGCTTTCAACTATCTTCACAGAAAACAAAGCAATATCAAGGAATCAAAATAACAGATTTCAGCAGTCTCTGGGTACTAAAGAACTAAATGACTTTTGGAATTTTCTAATAAGCTTTATAATCAACATCCAATATCCTAAAGGAAACTTACCACTAAGGCCTCTAACTGAACTGATTTCTTTTCTGATACATCTTTAAGTTGGCTGAAATATAAATAATATTAATAATAATAATACTATGCAGGTTGACTCAGCATGATTTCATAAGAGGTTCCTTAAACAAGAAATTTATATCTTTGGAGGTTTTACCTTGAATCAAATGTCAATCTAAAAATCTGCACTTTCTGATATGAAATTATATAATCTCTTTGGTGGCACTTGGTTGGTGAATTCTGAACATGTTCCATCTGTTCCAATTTTGGCTTCAATCAAATGCCATGGAACCGGAATATGTCACATTTAAATTCACCTTTATATTCCTTTCTCTGTCATTTTTAATTCTGTCTTCACCTACTATTTGAACCCTGTTCCAACTTGTTTTTATTGAACATGCAGTTGATTCACTGAATCAGAAATGTGCAGAGCTCACCAATCAAGCACCCCCAATGGTGGAACAGAAACCTACCGTAGTTTGTCAAGGTCCTTTTCATAGTTGGCGAGCATTCCTTCTTTCCTTTCCAAGACTTCTTTCAACATTTGAATTTTCCTCACTAAAGATTCACAAAGTTTTTCTCTCTGTTGTAGAAGTCTAGCTCTGTCATCTCTAGGTAGATGAGCCATTGGTTTGATGACTTCTGCTTCATCAACAGCCAGTGTACCAGCTACACCTCTCAATAAACTGAAATACTACAAAATCATGTTTTATTAGTATAAAGTTCCTAGACAAACAAATTAAATTCAGTCTTGATTTTTTGGTATTTATTTTTCTCCATTGCAATCAAACAACTTTTCTACCCCAATTGCATACAGTGACCTTATTTTAAACCACTCAAAGCATTTATATAGAAACTGATTCTAGACACACTGTGATTGGTTAAAAATAATGTTATTAGAACTTGACGGTGGTATAAGACTTGTGAGACTAAAATGAAGACGAAAACTTTAATGTAATAGAATTTTCAATATTAAAGTTAAGACTTACTGATTGTTCACTGTGATCTAAAGAATCTTGAGTTTCTTTATGAGCTGTTCGTTCTATGTCAGCTTCAACACCACCTTTAGCTGCTGCTCCTCTAGCTCTGTTAATTTCTCTATCTAATACACTACGTCCATTTAATACATTATCTTCACTCAGAGCTTGGTTAGCTTTCATTTCAGCCAATTCTTTCTTCAATATTACTACTTGCTGTAAGGCTTGATCATGTGTTGGCACTGAAAGTAGAATAATGATTATTAACACATCATAAATGTAAATCACAGAGAAACCTGCAAGATGATACATACATTTCTGGGATGTTAGTATCAATATATATACAAAACAAACAACAATCTGGGCCCCAAGGTGTTCATGATAGTTGAGTGCATTTTACTCGACACTGCCTCAGTACTGATTGTACAGTTCTGATTTAAATCGTTACATTTGATAGGTTAAATTGAATGAATGGTTATAATTGGTTCTAATCTTGAAAGACCAGTGATCATGAATAAACCTTCTTTTCTCATTATTCCAGTCAACCCAGTTGCAAACAATTATGGTATCTGAGAATGATCAATGGCAAGACGTTTGGTCAGCTGGTAGACAAGTCCTTGTCAACCTAAGTAGTTATCCTTATCAAAAATGAATGTTTTTACTTTCTTTCTCACAATATAAATGATAAAGCAGTTTATTTTCAGTTTACTTACATGGTGGTCTAGCATGTTCTAAAGACTTTAATCTGCCACGTAGTTCAGCTAAAGCTTCCCTCTGTCTCATTATAACTGCTTCATGTCTCTCACCACGACACTGTGCACCAAGGGCAGATAATTCAGTTGTAATTTTACCCTGAAATATATCATCCCATTTAATTTAATCAAATATAAAATATTTAAGGATCAATATAAAAATAAAATTATAACAATACTTGACACATACACAACACCAATATGGTGACATTTATTGGATTATTGGACTTTGTCAAGTTGAATACCATCTTCTATATTAGCATATTGACGTGGGAACCTCTGGTTAAAAATTTTTCCAACTGTACATAGTTTGGCAAACCTTTCTAAAGGTCTATACTTGCAAATTTAGAAATTTTTACAAAGTCTTAAAGTACTCTGAAGTTTTAAAACTATTCCACAAGGTCAAAATCATCTTGAACTAAAAGACTCTACCTATCCTTTATTCCACAAGGTCAAAATCATCTTGAACTAAAAGACTCTACCTATCCTTTATTCCACAAGGTCAAAATCATCTTGAACTAAAAGACTCTACCTATCCTTTATTCCACAAGGTCAAAATCATCTTGAACTAAAAGACTTTACCTATCCTTTATTCCACAAGGTCAAAATCATCTTGAACTAAATGACTCTACCTATCCTTTATTCCACAAGGTCAAAATCATCTTGAACTAAAAGACTCTACCTATCCTTTATTCCACAAGGTCAAAATCATCTTGAACTAAAAGACTCTACCTATCCTTTATTCCACAAGGTCAAAATCATCTTGAACTAAAAGACTCTACCTATCCTTTATTCCACAAGGTCAAAATCATCTTGAACTAAAAGACTTTACCTATCCTTTATTCCACAAGGTCAAAATCATCTTGAACTAAATGACTCTACCTATCCTTTATTCCACAAGGTCAAAATCATCTTGAACTAAAAGACTCTACCTATCCTTTATTCCACAAGGTCAAAATCATCTTGAACTAAAAGACTCTACCTATCCTTTATTCCACAAGGTCAAAATCATCTTGAACTAAAAGACTCTACCTATCCTTACCTCATGATCTAAAAGATCTAACTGTTTCCTCTGTTCTTCTCTCTCATCATTCAATCTGGCTTCATATTCTTTTATAATATTGACATTATCATCCATACTATCTTTATACTGTCTTACTATATCTTTCTCTTTACTGAAATATAATAACTTTTATAATATTGACTTTATCATCCATACTATCTTTATACTCTCTTACTATATCTTTCTCTTTACTGAAATATAATAACTTTTATAATATTGACATTATCATCTATACTATCTTTATACTGTCTCACTATATCTTTCTCTTTACTGAAATATAATAACTTTTATAATATTGACTTTATCATCCATACTATCTTTATACTGTCTCACTATATCTTTCTCTTTACTGAAATATAATAACTTTTATAATATTGACTTTATCATCCATACTATCTTTATACTGTCTCACTATATCTTTCTCTTTACTGAAATATAATAACTTTTATAATATTGACTTTATCATCCATACTATCTTTATACTGTCTCACTATATCTTTCTCTTTACTGAAATATAATAACTTTTATAATATTGACTTTATCATCCATACTATCTTTATACTGTCTCACTATATCTTTCTCTTTACTGAAATATAATAACTTTTATAATATTGACTTTATCATCCATACTATCTTTATACTGTCTCACTATATCTTTCTCTTTACTGAAATATAATAACTTTTATAATATTGACTTTATCATCCATACTATCTTTATACTGTCTCACTATATCTTTCTCTTTACTGAAATATAATAACTTTTATAATATTGACTTTATCATCCATACTATCTTTATACTGTCTCACTATATTTTTCTCTTTACTGAAATATAATAACTTTTATAATATTGACTTTATCATCCATACTATCTTTATACTGTCTCACTATATCTTTCTCTTTACTGAAATATAATAACTTTTATAATATTGACTTTATCATCTATACTATCTTTATACTGTCTTACTATATCTTTCTCTTTACTGAAATATAATAACTTTTATAATATTGACTTTATCATCTATACTATCTTTATACTGTCTCACTATATCTTTCTCTTTACTGAAATATAATAACTTTTATAATATTGACTTTATCATCTATACTATCTTTATACTGTCTTACTATATCTTTCTCTTTACTGAAATATAATAACTTTTATAATATTGACTTTATCATCTATACTATCTTTATACTGTCTCACTATATTTTTCTCTTTACTGAAATATAATAACTTTTATAATATTGACTTTATCATCCATACTATCTTTATACTGTCTCACTATATCTTTCTCTTTACTGAAATATAATAACTTTTATAATATTGACTTTATCATCCATACTATCTTTATACTGTCTCGCTATATCTTTCTCTTTACTGAAATATAATAACTTTTATAATATTGACTTTATTATCTATACTATCTATATACTCTCTTACTATATCTTTCTCTTTACTGAAATATAATAACTTTTATAATATTGACTTTATCATCCATACTATCTTTATACTGTCTCACTATATCTTTCTCTTTACTGAAATATAATAACTTTTATAATATTGACTTTATTATCTATACTATCTATATACTGTCTTACTATATCTTTCTCTTTACTGAAATATAATAACTTTTATAATATTGACTTTATCATCCATCAGTCAAACTTCAGTAGGGACCTTGGCTGAAATAGGCAAGATGTCTGAAGATCGCATAGCATGAAACTCTGAGTAACAACATGTTTAAGGTTCTGTTTTAATATTTCTATATCTTTATCACTCTAGAATTATGTATTGAGCACTATTTTAAGAGTAATAATATTTTGTTATTGTGGTATATAAATACTTACAGCAATGCAGCTTCCAGTGTTTTCATTTCTGCTTTCTGTTTGTCTACAATCTTTGATAACTTAGCTAACTGTTGACGAGTTTCATTCAAATCTTTTTCTCTTCTGCATAGAATTTCACGATTCTGCTCCATTTCCTGTTTTTGGTTTTCTGAGAGTTCCCCAGTGATATCAGATAATCTAGCAGATGCACCAGTTAAATCACGTCGTAATCCAGTGATAACATCTTGCTGTGCTGTTAATTGTTTCTTTAATTCAGAGTTATCTAACCTAAAACATATTACAAATTCACACTAAGTATAATTTTGAATACAATGCATGAAGTGAATGTGAATAATCTCTGTAACTATAAACTATGTGCACCATGTTCTGACAAACAAGTTGGCTCAATACAGACACCATAATAGTGAGTGTCTGCCACAAGGTTGTCTAAGATTACCAATAATTTTGATTTTAATATGTGACAAAAAAATGAAATGCAAAAGCAAATAAGGCTGACAAACCAAAGTATTCAATATTGAAATTGTATTTGCGAGCGACACACAAATATTTCATATGCAAAAAAAGACCATGTCAAAGTCTGTGCTACTACTATTTTGTTTTTCAGAAACCTGCATTATGAACCCAGAAACAGTACTGTTGTGTGATAAACAGTCTTATTTTTTACCTTAAAACAGATATCAGGTGTTCAAGAGCTGTCATTTCCTCAGTATTTCTCTGTAGAACAACTTTAGGTTTTGGAGGTATAGAAGGTTTCTGTGCTTTATTCAATTCCGTTTTTAAGTCTACAAAAAAACCCCAAAAATTGCTCAATTTCCACTAGTATGTTTCTGTATTAGTTATTCTTGGGTATATAGAATTGTTCCCTTTCAGAAAGTCACATATTGATCTGATCTATACCAAAAAATGACTAAGTTTTGGTATATAATGATTAAAAGACGACTGGGGAAACATGTCAAACTGTTACATAAAACTTTAACCAGTGATTGTTGTTCCATACAGCTGTGTCTATATATATCGTACTTCCAATGCTAAATGCTATTTATAGACAGGGAGTAATACAGAGTTGACCATTCTTACCTTGTACTTTACAATTCAAAGCTTTAATCTGTTCTTCATATTCAGCATTAATTCTAGTGACTTTAGCTAGACGTTCTTCCATAGCACAGATAGTGACGGCATGTTGACTGACTTGTTGTTTATGATGTAGGATCTCATCCTGGTGGGCCTGATCTTTCTCTGATAACTGTTTATTGATCTCTTCCATTTCTAGTTTCTTTGATTGGTCTAATTTTATTAAATCAGCTCTTAATTGAGCTTCTGAGGACCTCAACATATCAAACTGGGCCAGGATATTGGAGGCTTGCTCTAGTTTATTTGCTTGTTCTTCTTCTTGTTTAGTAAAGGACTGAAGAAAAAAATAAGCGGATATTCAATTATAAATAACAATGTGGCAAGGGAATAGGCTTATAAATCTCTTCAATTGATTTAATGGCTGANATGTAGTTTAGATACAAAAGAAAATGGAAAAAAAAAATCATTTTCTACAGATTCTTTGGAGACGGACTATAATTCAAAAAGAAAGAGGCCCACCTCTCGTAATTGTTCTAGAGCACTTTCTAACTCTTCTATTTTACGTTTATCAGAACTCTCCATACTTTCTCTCCTCTCAGATTCTAACAGTCTGATTTCATCTATAGCTTTATTCAATTTCTCTTCTCCTAAAAATATAGGGTAGATAATGTATTTGAATATTAAATCATTTATTATCAATACTCTAATGACTCTTCTGGTAGACAATACTTCCTTCATCTAGTTATCTTAACACGTTTCAGTCCAATTCCACAAAGATTTATTGATTTATTCTATTTTAGCTTCGCTGCAATAAATTGTGGTGGGTGTCCAAAGAGGGACCAATTTTGCTGACTCTTTCACAATACCTGTGCTGCTCAGAATTGATTTTAATATGAGAAGTTTAGGCGTTTCACCCGTTTCAACTTTTCACCCACTAACATACCTTCTAATCTTGCTTTTTCTACAGCATCTTTCATATCATTTTCCATTTGTTCTGTTAAACTCTTTATCTTTTGTTCAAATTCTTCTTTATGAGAAACATCAGCGTCTGTTAGTTGAGTTTCTAATCTGGATTTCTCTTCTAAGGCAGCCAACAATTTTTCATTGATTTGAAGAATATGTCTATCAGGACCTATAGTAAAAAGCATACAATATCTGTCACCAAGATGGCGTCTTAATTGATTTTGTGTTTCTACACCTTATTATCTCAGCTGAGGCTTCATACAAAATTGGAAAGGTTTTTCATAAACCTGAAGAAAATCAAATAAAAGGCAGATTGAATTGTGCTGCTTACCTTCATTTGAGAGTTTAACATTCACACCACATGTTTCTAGAGATGTCTCTATAGATTGTTCCCATGACGACACAGTTTTCAAGATGTCTGCCACCACATCTCGCATCCATGTAAATGAATCATCTGTAGCTACAGAATTCAGGATGTCAATTTCTTGATTTACGGTTTCACATTTCATTCCCTTTTCTTTTAATCTATTCTGGAAACGATATTAAGCAAGAATTCAAAATTCACCTTCAAAGTAAACCAATACAATAATTGAAACCTTTTGTGAAGATACTTAACTACTATCTTGTCTTTACTTTTCAAGCTATGCAGATGACAGATTCAAAAGCAGTATAGCAACATAACTGTTAAGTGTACTAAAAATTATTAAATCATACTGTCATTCAACCAGCCTCAGATTTAAAATTTTCAATCAGACAGCATTTAACATTTAAAATGGCAAATCAGACAGCCTTAGGTTTAAAATGGTCAATCACACAGCCTCAGATTTAATGAGACATCCTTAGATTTTAAATGGTCAATCAGACAGCCTCAAATTTAAAATGGTCAATCAGACAGCCTTAGATTTAAAATTGTCAATCAGACAGCCTTAGGTTAAAATGGTCAATCACACAGCCTCAGACTTAATGAGGCATCCTTAGATATTAAATGGTCAATCAGACAGCCTCAAAATTTAAAATGGTCAATCAGACAGCCTCAAATTAAAATGGTCAATCAGACAGCCTTAGATTTAAAATGGTCAATCAGACAGCCTTAGATTTAAAATGTTTTGAATTTATGAGCCAGCCATAACTTTAATATTTAAGAGTTAATTTAAAATTCAATCATATTTAAACTTATCAAATCAAATTATTATTACTATTTTTAATCTGCAGGCCATAAAAAGCCCTTTATGATTTTTTGCACCTTATTTACGTCTTACCAAACTGGCATCAAGATGTTCCTGTAATTTCTGACTATTTTCCATAAGTTCATCTTTGCTGGATTCAGCCTCCTGTTTCTTGGTTTCTAATTCAGTTATAACTGTCTTTAAACTACCACGCTCTTCAATTAATTTCTTTAAAGTCTCTAACAGATCATCGTCTGTTAATTCAGTTTCAGGGGCAGATAATCCTGAGGAACCATATGTGACTTGAATAACTCTATTTCTAAATCTCTCCAACTGAAACGTAAAATACACAAAATATTTAATTTTCAGAAAATATGCAATAAGAATAACCTTGGTTCGATTCTGATCTCTGAAGAATATAATCTATGAAAAATGTTGGTCTTTGAGCTATTTTCAAGACCTCAAAACTCTCAATTCACAGATCAGGGAATTTCAAGAAAAAATGATAACAATTTAATGAAGCTATACCAAGTATATAAAACAATCCACATTATGATCATATAAAGCAAATACTTAAATGTCAGTCAAGTCTGGTAGGAGTTCCAATATGATTGGCTTTAAGGTTTTTAAAAAATTCTTACCCTTTTGGTTGCTTGTTCAAGATCTACTCTGACAACACGTTCTGTTCGTTGCATGTCTAAATATTGAGATTTTGCTGTATCTAATTCTGTTTGTAATTTTCTATTCTTGTCCTTTTCTTCAAACAGTTGTGTTTTAACATTATCTACTTCCCCTCGTAACGTTGTCACTAAATCTTGGAATTCTAAAGTTTTTGTCTCTGCATTTTTAAATTTCTGGAAAAAATTGTACATAAATTGTAATGTATAAACAACGCATTTATAAGGTTAAGTCTTTGTGGAAAGAAGGGTTTTAGTCTGCAAAATGTACAGACCTAGTGTGGAAAAAACACTTTGGTACAGGTGGTCAAGTCAAGGTAGGCCTATACAAGTTTAACTTATGTTTTACTCGTCCCAAAATGGCTGCCTTAAACTTCCTTAAAGTACCAATCAGATTTAAACATGAAACACATACCTGTCTTAAACTCATTAACTCTCTATCTCTGGCATTATTAGTCTCTACATTTTGTTTATTCTCTGCTAGGGATGATGCAGCATAATTTTCTTTCAATTTAGTTATCTAAAATTAAACAAATTCAATATAAAGAGATCTCAATATAGAGACAATTTTAATCCTACTTGCCAGTAGTGCTAACAGTGATATATAATATCTATAGCACAGTTTTCATGAAGGGTTTTTAAAATTGGATAGCGACAGACAGATTGTAGAGTGGTTTTCTTATTATGTATTATTGCTGCAAATGCCATGGTGCTTGACTTCTTGATCTGATCAATATTTTGAATTTTCAATGTTAAATTCCCATTCTGTACTAACCTTATTATTAGCTGCTGTTAGTTGAATATCTCTCTCTCGTAATTCCTTCTTCACCATTTCTAATTCACGATTTAATTTACTGAGAGAAGAATCCTAAATAAAGATATTGTTAGTTTAATACAGCTTCATGTTTCATTTAAACCTTGATTGAAGTAATACATAGATGAATTGTTCAACTAAATAGAAAAGAAAACTATCTAAAACCTGCTTAACATAGCACTGTACATTTTTATGTATTTATGGTTCTAGTTTTGTATTCAAAAAATGAGGCATAAAATATCAGTCTTCAGAGCTGGTACTTCTGTCTGCAAAATGTAATCACGACTCCTGTTTATATAGTGCAATTTAGATTACAAGTTTATTAATATTAATATATTTATATTTATAAATCAGTCTCAAGCTTTGTTAATGTGCTTCACTAAAAACTCAACCATTTATAGAGTAGGTTGCAAACATCAACTAAGAGATTTTTTTGTTTAAACTGTAACATGAGTAATGGTATTAACATTAACCATTAGTTATCTATTCTACTGATACATATACATTTAGATACAACATTGGGAAACGGAGAATTAACTGAAAATAGATTTTTTACGGAATTAATTGATCTTCCATATCTTATTATTCTTATGATAAATATTAGGAAGCCCTCGAATTCTTTACATGCAAACTAAGATTCAAAGGCATACATTAATCAACAATTCACCAAGCATCATATAGCAAGCATAACACTACCAATATTATAACAACATTGGTTATATTGGCATGAGAGAAAGGCATTGTTTCATGGAAAATTGTAGGAAAACTGAAGATGTGTAAAATTTCAAAGATAAATATTCTGAACGAACCAAAGAAGAAATAAACAAGGAAAGTAAAGTGTGATAAACATGCAGTGTGATTATTCTAACACACAGTGTGTATATAACAGTATTTTACTTATCACACTTACCAATATAGTATCTTCCTCACACTAAATATATATATATATATATATACTAGATTGTTAGCCTCTATCATACATATTGCATGCAGGACATATTGCATTAAGGATATTTTGCATAAAGGACATTTTGCATAAAGGGACATTTTGCGTAAAGGACACTTTGCATAAAGGACACTTTGCATACAGGACAGTTTACATACATGACAAATTGGGAAAAAGGTTAAGACATCACAAGCCCTTTAATAAAGCAAATGTGAAAGGAAGGTATCAAATGGATCAGCTTCTGTCAAATAAACTTTGCATATATCATTAATGCTTTGTTACTGTGTTTGTTTATATGTATAAAACAAATCATAGGGAGAAGGATGTTGATTGGCCGGTTTGAAAATCATGAATATGATTACCTATTACCTCAATACAAGGATTAAAGACTATATAATATAAATGTAATGTCTCCTAAATTTTTCACAGATTTTCACCCTCAACAGTCAAGCCCTGAAAAATTTTGCACCAGATACCTACCTTGGAGGACATGTCTCTCTGCATTTGAGTTACTAATCCTGACGTTATATTTTTATCTTTTCTTAATCTCTCCATTTCATTACGAACAGAACTCAATTCTCTAACTCTCTCTGATAATTCTTGACGAACAATATTGGGAGTGTCAGGTGATTCCAGTTTTAACTTAGAAATCTATAATTGTGAGGTGATAAAACAAAGGATAGTAAAGTTTACAAATGAAATGTGTATGATGTGCGCCATGATTTGCGTCTGGTGGTTGCTCAAGGATGCAAAAACTAAAAATTCAGTGGATCAGAGTCATATCGAATGTTCAGTGCTAATGTTTAGAGAATTTAAAAAAAAAAAATATTAAACAAAAATCTATCACTTAAGTTAAAAGAAATATTAAGTGAACAAAGAAAGAATAATGTACCTGTTCTTTTAGAATGGCAATTTCACTTTTCTTCCCAGCAACTTCATTTTCTAGAGACATGAGTCTTTGGGTGAGTTCCATGTCAGTGACATGTTGCTGCTGGTCATCGAATGAGGACATTTGACTATGAAGGTCAAGGTTTTCTTGACGTAATTTTTGTACCATTTGATCTTTACGGAATGAATCCATCTCAACACCTCGTAGTCTCCCCACTTCTTCTGTCAACTGTAGAAGTTTTTGTTCCTAGAAAATGTAACACTGTAAGTTAATTCTATTTTTCAACACTTTATTGTTCTTTTTAGAATCATGAACTTTGCTAATGTCATATCATACCAATGAATTCTTGATGATTTAGGTTTTTCTAAAGCATGCTTGATTTGACATGATATCTGATATTCTTCCACTTACCTTTTCTTGCATCATAATCATGAGATCATTAGGATTAGTTACTGAAGAGATGACATTAGTTGTAACTTGACGACCACCAGTCCAGTTCCCTACAAAACCAAAACTTAGTTTTGAAAAAAAGAAGCAATTTAGACTGTCATATCTAAAAGGTTCAATTATGGTTTGGGGTACATCTTTTGAGTAGATGAATTTGGATCAGTTGATTACTGATTGGGACTATATTGTTATATAACAAATATATACAATTAAAAGATCATTACTATTAGCAGTGTCCAATGAAAGGAATTGTGACCAATCCTTTATAATTTTATCAACTCTAGAGGTCTTTCTATGCTAGTACCTACAACCTTCATCATTGGCCTAGTTCAGACCTATAACATCTGTTCTAACCTGATTGCTGTAGTATGGATGGTTGTTGTTGAATAGTGGTAACAACTTGTCCATTTGGTAATCTCCCCTCAAAACTCCCTCTTCTAATAGATCCAGCACTAGATGGTCGAGTTCTCAATGGGGGCCGAGGTAAAGGACTTTGTTGGTTTTGCTGAACCCACATACCAGAGGGGGGTAAGGCAGTGACAGTAGTAGTAATATAAGGTAAATTTGACTGATCATGACTTGTTGTAGCAGGTTGATCACCTATAACTGTTAATGGCTGGGTCCATGCTGGTCTCTGTTGCACTGGTGGATAAATGACCTGAAGAATGAAAATGCAATATTAATTTCAAATGACTATCAAAATATAACCTTTTAAAGTCTGGAGTAATGTCACAAATTCAATATATGTAGTCTCTAAAATGTCTTATAATTCAATATTAGATCACCATTAAACACTGTTCAAAATAAATGCATCTAGTTTTGAAATCTTAACAGAGAACATACATGATATTAAAGCCACCCTGATATGAGCAAACATCTCACTGCCCTTCATATATTTCTCATGCTATTTCACAAAGACTTTAATTATTACAGTAAATGTCCTTTTTGCAGACAGAAATATGGTGCAAGTAAAGGTAAAATTAGTGTAGAAGCTTACTGTTAATTTGTGTAGATATCATGCACATTGTTCAAATCTGTGATATGTGCTCTATCAGTTTTTATATCATTATAAAATAGCCTGTATGAGACCTCTTGACAGAAAGTCTAAAGATAGCTTGCGAGGCAAGGTAACATACGCCCACTACCAGCTGTCAGAAATGATAACAAAACCTTTAGTGGCTTAATAATGAATTTTCAAATAAATCTTAAAATGATCTATAAGTCCAGGCAAAATCCTAAAACAGTTCATCAAGTTATCATCAAATTCAAACACGAACAATGTCTCATCGCTCTAAACACAAGGGCAATAATTCTGAAACTGTTCATCATCCGAGTATTACCAATTTCTAACTTGATTATATTATATGAATATCTAGTCTCATCAAGATCAGATAAAAACTGTAGTCTCTTCGTGCCTACAAGCCAAATTTGACACGTTTTTACTAAATCAAGGGCAATAACTCTGAAACCGTTTTTCCACTTATTACTGATTTCGAACTTGTCCGAGATCTCATCAATATATACAATCATACCAAGTTTCATCAAGATGGGATAAAAACTGTAGTCTCTATCGTGCCTACAAGTCAAATTTGATGCATTTTTACTAAGTCAAGGGCAATAACCGTTCTTCCGATTATTACCAATTTCGAACTTATCCGAGATCTCATTAATATATACTTGCATACCAATTTTCACCAAGATCGGATAAAAACTGTAGTCTCTATCGCGCCTACAAGAAATGTGGACGGACCGACGGACAGGGGCGACATTTCCATGTGGGCGTATAAAAACTGGAGATTTAAGACAAGTCTGCCAGTAGACTTTAATTTAATTGTATATGAATAAGCAGTGAGATTTTCACCAAGAAAAAAGATACAGACAGCTGGAAGATTCCTTTGACTAGCAAAAAATTTAGAAACAAAGGCCTAAAGAAACTTTTATTTTTTCCTATGCTACAAATTTGTAAAGACTTTTGTTGTGTTTAGTTATTTTATAATGAAAATCAATAATCTGAAGAGATCAATATTATCTATTAATATAACCTTACTACCGTACTGATTATAATAATATATTACTCTGTCACTAATGATAATCAATATTCATTTAAATACATTATTAGACTACCAACAAATATATAGCTTAGTGAGTTTGTGTACATTTGTAAATAAAAATGCCTCTTATCAAACAAATAATCTTTTTTATTTTTTAATTTTGTATATCTATATTTGACAATTTGTTATCAAATTACAATGTTTCTTAAACCCTAGATTCAAGTTTCCTGCAAATGCAGTTTATGATTACAATTTCTTTTTTATTTTTTATCTTTCATTGTAATCTAACAAGTTTTCCACTAAGGTTGTGTTCTAATGAAGTTATTTTCAACCAATCAAATTTAAAACCCATTTCTTTCTAAAAATGAAATCTTAGGGATGGCACACCCCAGACTGTCATATTGCTCAATTTTGGAGATGAAAAAGGAAAGAAATATTAATCTGATTCTTGCATTATATTTTGTAATGAAAATGAAAAGGGGTAAGGGTAACTAAAATAAAACATTATCAAGGACTTTTAAAATATTATACTTTTTGTAATGAATCTAAAGTAGAAAGTGGTCAATCATTTCTAATAGATCTAATAGATCTCATGTGAACGTAACTTAATGTTGCTATACACATACAATGATAACAGATTAACAATAAGACCTATAGATCTACACAATATATAGGTTACACTTACTTTATATTCTATTAAACATAATTCTACTTTCTTAACATGCAGTTAACAATAAAGTATTATTCGTTACCGGCCCGTTGACAATAGACCAATTTACTTTTATTATTTGTCTATTGTGTAGGGCAAAATAGATTTCAATGTAGCCATCATATCATAATCAGGTAATAAAATTTCAAAGCAGAATCACTGTCTCAAGTTGTTCAAATTGTTTTAGGACTATTGGCAACATATCATATGCCAATAAATCTTGCCAAAATTCTTATAAAAAGAAAAGTTTTATGTTTTATTCAACCTGATTAGTTAAAAAAGGTAATGCGATGCAATGTAGGCTACAGTGTGCGAAAGTTTGCCAAGACAGTCAAATAGTCTGCTCTGTTTTTGATTCCTCATAAGCACAAGGAAAAAAGGGTGAATTTGATGAAGGAAAATAAGATAGGTCAATATTACCACTAGAGAATGGAAGAAAACCTCGAAAATACTTCAATTAAAAAAGGTTGCCTGATTGGTATCACTATTACATATTAATGGATGTTAGTACAAGAGGCTAACCACTGCCTTTTTTAGAATTATCACAGTTTTAAAGAAATTGAGATATATAAAGCTACCGGTACTAACAACATTTTCAACAACAATCATTGTTATAACAATTATAACATATATATAAGTATTTCTGACACCATATTGATGCAACAATGGGCATACCCTAACTGAGATATTGTGCAAATTTTCAAATTTGAAGCAGGGCTTTGTATTTGAGGGGTGTGATCACACTCTTACATCTTGATTGGTGTTTGTGAGGTGTGAGAGTGCAATCACACGCCTCAAATACAAAGACTCGCTTTAACATCTGTGAATTTGCACGATATGCCAGAAATGGTTACCAGTAATTCCTTTTTCAACAATTTTGGCCCCTTTTTGCAATTTATCATAAAAAAATATTAATCTCAAAATGGCGATTTATGACATATTCAGTAACTGTCTTTTCATATAATGTCTTGATACCATTTTAACAAAGATCAACAAACCATATAAATAAAGTATTAGAATTTCAAAAAATTTTTTTTTTACATTTAAGGAAACTAGAAAGGACAATCAACTACATTAAAAAAAAAATTTTAATTTAGTTACTTAAATCAAGTGTTTGTGCAAAGCTAGCATGCTTTATGTAAAAAAAACATGCAAAATACCTTTGGTATATTTCTTTGTGTTATATTTGGTTGAAGCTGAAATTGTGTAAGTTAATGAAGATAACTCTGCAGTATGATTTTATTTAACAATGTACTGGTGCAAATTGTAATTTTGAAAAGTGATACAGATAGCTAACCTTGTGCTTTATCGACAGCCCACAAACAAATATTCAGATATCTATATCCCTGTTTAATTTATCTAAAAATGATTCTTCATTTATGTGCCTTATCTTTTCCAAAAAAATAAACTTTAAAAGATTGTACTTACTGGAGGGGGATTTTCAATAAAGAGTTCGTATGTTGCACCATTGGAACCAAACTGTATCATATCAGAAGGAGCCAGACGAACAGCTGCATTCTGTACCCGTACATTATTAATATATGTACCCTGAACTGTATTTAAATCTTGTAATACATAACAATCTTCTATATCATAGTATTCTATTACAGCATGTTGATAATCTACACCAGGTATCTAAAATAAATAAACCAAATACTAACGATACGAACTGCAAAACGAAACCCGAAATCTAAAACAACATTTTGGCTAAACATTGGTAGTAGTTAATTAACTTTTCACATGAGGAAGTATATCAATCATAACTGAGTAAGTATTTCATAATGAAAAGTGGTATTAGGTGTCTATGCATGTAAAATACGCAAGAAAATTATTTTACATATATATCATACTTATAGGTTTACAGTCTTTCTGTTGAGTTCTCTGAATGGCTGTATTTGCTAGAACACAAACCAATCAAATCTCTCCATTTACAAAAAAAGTGTCTCACGAAAACTAAAGATGTCAAAATATTAGATGGAGTTTGTAATAACTTGACATTGTGAAGATTGGACTTGATAAAACAATCAAATTTTCAAGTCATTAATATTAGATTATTAACAGATACCATAACTTTGAAAGATTTATGTGAGAATGGCGTACTGTGATCTCCTATAGCTCAAATTGATTTACTGATGTTCAATGTCAAGGGAGATAATATGTCTAAAGTGGAATAATCAAGACCTAAATATTGACTAACATATGGCATTGTTTAATCCAGATGAAGGCTACAGATTTATATAGTCTGGAATATTTGATTTAAATAACACAAACTATGATGGTAAATTCTACATCTACAATAATATGTCATATGAAATATCCAGGCATAAGATAACTGTAGATCTAGATATATTACTGTAGTAGATCATTTGCCACTCATAATACTATTTCATACATCTGATCAGCCTAAGAGTCTATCCCAATGCCCAATAAATATTCAAAAGAATTCCATTGGACTGTATTACAATGTATGTATTATCAAGGAGGCCAATTAAAATTAAGAATGACACCAAACCCTGACAAAATACAGGAAATGATACCGATACCTTGATAGTTACATCACATCCTTCTCTGCCAATAGTAGTTACTTTTGGAGACAATGGAAATAAATGTCCATCACCACCTTTCAAAAAGGCCTTCATGATGTATTTATTGCAATTTGTCACTGTTTGTCTATGTCGGCAACTTCAAAGAAACAAGTGCCCGTTAAATGTTTATATCCGTTTTCCTATAGAAAAACGACACAAATATAGTCCTCGCTTGTTTTATCCTATTATTCTCTTCTCCATCTTTAGTTTTTAAATATGTTTAATCCTAAAAAAATATCCCTCCTCCAGTTAAAACTGTATCAACACGCATGATAAATTTTGTTTCTAACTTGACAACCATGTAAACATTCTTAGCCTCCAATCCAAAATGGTGGACTTATGTCATAAAAATGTTTCTGAATCAACGAAAGATGTCAGAAATTAACAAAAACAATAGAATGGCCTATCAATTAACAAACGTGTTTTTCAATCAAACCTATTAAATTTGGATTCATTCCTTAAATTCTATAAATGTTTTTTTTCATTATCACATTTTGTTCGAGATTATGACAAATGAAATGCTACATTCAATACAGCTATAAAAACGTGATCACTATTTATTCGGGAAAATTATAGTAGTAGTAGATAATCCGAATGATTCCAAAAAATATACTACGGACTAAATGTTATTGGCGGCAATCTTCTTTAAAATACAGATCTAGTAATTGTAATTTGAAATCTAATTTCAATCTTGTTTCAACCTAGTTTCAATCCAGTTTCACTTTAATCCGAACCATCTGCCTTTATTCCAGTTTTTCGTGGTAGTAAAATTTTCTTTCATTGTAGAATAATCTTATCAGTTATACCCATTTTATCGGATTGTAAGCTAGCTCATACAGCCCATTAGAGCCATCGACATAAAATATTTGGGTTAAGTTTACAAACCTTCGGTAGATGCTTATAATCCAATCAATCGTTGCATTTATACATACTTATGTGACAGTGTGGTTATTTCTAGAGAGACTGTCTCTTTAAACAGTTCAGTGGTTGATTAGTTTTTTTTTTAGCTACAAGCACACTTCACTGCATAAGCCAATCACCTATGAATACCCTTTTTTCTTTCTATTTTTATCTTGGGGTTCACCTTTCTCTTTGCTCTGGGGTGAGCTGTCTTCGCCTTTACCCTAGCTACTGTGTGTGTAGTGTGGTAGTCGTATTCTATTATATAAAATTTATCATGTCTCTGTTATTTATTTCTGAAGTATAGCTTTAAGTCTCTTTTTCTTCCCTAGTTTATCCACGGTAGCTTTAAGTTGTTTACAAGCAGAGTGAACACTTTTCTTTATTTTTACTCAGTTTAAATTCTAATCACTCTCCTATATAAGACTTTCTCTCTCTTTCTTTCTTCACTTCTGTCATTTCACCTAAAATTGTGTGTTTGTATGTTTGATGTCATCTTTCTTGGTAAGTTATTATTCTTTTATTTTACTTTTTCTACAGACTGGACAAATCTATTTTATTCAATGCAATTCTCCTTTAGAAATGTAATTTTGTAATAACTTATTTTCATAAAGTTTAAAGTTGTTTTCATTAGTTACGACAGCCATCTTTGTTTTCTTTTAGAAATCTTAGGCTACATGGTTATTTAATCTACACCTAATTTTATACAAGTTTATAATAACTCCTATTTTATAGGGTAAGATTGTTTATAGATTTTCTTTAGTTATATATTTCTAAATATGCATTATAAATGGCAGATGTGAATTTGTATTATTTATTTGTGTTGTGAATTTCTTTCATTATTTGTATTTATAAGAATTATTTATGTATTTTTCAGAATTATTGTTTAGATTTATAATAATAAAATTTATAGAACCCCGACCCAGAGTTTCCTTGTACCTTCAAAAAAACCTGTTACAGTTGGATACCACACTTTCAACACCATCTTGAAGAAGATAAAATTTCATTTTTCTTTAAGTTAAGTCTGTTTAATTCAAACTCTAATTAATCCTTTATTAATTAGTGAAAGGTATGTGTGTCTCTTTTTATTATGGGTAACTGTCAAGGGTTTTACCAATTTTAGCAAGAATGGGTGTAAATGGGATATTTTAACTTGTAATTTAGTACCGTGTATTAAGTATAATGCCTATTATTTCAGTATGTTAAAGATGTTATTTGTATATAGATAGTTTATGACTTAGTAATTGGTATTTAACCCCACTTCGGGTAGGTTGAAGTTAATTCATTATAATTTATCAGTATATTCTATTTTCATAATTATATAATCATTTGATTAGAAGACATTCCATTTTTATAAATGATGTATTGACTTTGTATATATTATTTTATTGTGTATTAATTCTGAACATTGTTTTGCAGGGTTTTTATGATTAAAAATAATAAAAGTAAAAATCGAACCCAGGCCTTTTTTTATTGGGGAAAAGAAGATGTCTTTTATAAATGAATATATTATATTCAAAACTCAAACCAATTACCAAAAGACGCGAATCTGTCCAAAATGCAAAAATTGTCACTTGAAATGTGTTTTTACGGAAGGCATTTTTCTGACAAACTTTTTGTTGATGATTTTGCTACCTAGGGATGTTTGTATATCAAATGTAAATTCATCCAAATGTTTCTTTTCATAAACCCCATGACAAAGTTACCATTTTAAGTAATTCTGAATTTTATGGAAACGATTATTTTTATTCACAAAACAAGTACAATCGAATAACCTAATTTCGTGGAAACCTATTATTCGTGGATTTCCGGAAAGGATTAATAATTTACATGAGCGACCTTGCGTGACCTCCGCATTAGTTTGTTTTAATAAACATGGGTTTTCTCTACAATATCAGCTAGTAGAATGAATTCAGTACTTTCAATCAAGGTAAAATGTATTAATGTATATTTTGCCAAATACAAAATGGCGGATTTCACTTATTACCAAACGTCACCATTTTTTATCGGCCGAATTTCCTTATAATCCCAAGCGGTAATCGGAATTTCAAGTGTCGTCTGCTAGAATGTAGTCCTACGAATGAAGTCACGTGATCAACTAGCGGATTCCGTGTCAGCAGAAAATTTCTATGGAACACAAAGTGGACCATATTCTTATGTTGTTTCAGTGACTTTTAGCAATAAATCACGCTACGTATCATAATTGTCAGTCTCTATTTTTTTTTTAAATCGTGGTTCTTTGAAGGAATTGTCACTAGTTATAATGAATTGATATTGAAGATAAATACTAAGAGAAGTTAATTATACCACCCGGTATCCATACAACGTGTTTTTCTGGACTTGTTTATAGATCAAACATTGTACACGAAAATAGGTGACGCATTCTGCCGCCGTTGCGGAGTTGGTTGCTCATGATATATGGGTCAAAGTGAAGGATTCATAAAGAAAATCGAAATAAACCAATTTTAATCATTTTGTAGAATATCTGAGGAAACATCTAAGACATAATTTTTTTTTTTTCGTTTTTTTAACTTTGACGAAATTTGGTGTTGAATCCTTATATCCACGAAAATAGGTTACACCACTGTATAGTAGAAACGTTAATCGTAACTAAATCATTTTCACAGTATTTCTACACACTTCAATGGCATCAAATCTTCAGAGAGAATTACTTTGAATTAACAAAAAAAAAAAAATATAATTTATTAAAATACGTTTAATCATGTCAAATTACAATTAAAAAAATAATGTATACAAACAAAAGAAACAAATCTATTATGTATAATCACGTCAAATAATAATAATAAAGAGACTATAAAGATATACATTTTAAAGGAGCAGTTTGGAAAATTATCAAAAACATATTAAATCATACCTGAATATATTTCTAAAGTATGCTATTTAGATTTATGCTACTTGATCAAACTGAAATAGTTTTAAAGGGTTAATTAATAATGGAAGGTAATTATTGTTTAATTTGATTAAATCTGAACAGTTACCAAAAAGCATAACGAAATTTTTATATAGTTTTGGCGACAAAAATCCAACGGCTGGAATTTTTAGTAAGAACATTCAGATATGATTAGGGACACGTTTCTCTAGATTTTGGTGTGTGGTTTCCATAAATGTAAGCAAAATATATTTATTTTTCAACCTACAAAAAAACCCCAAAAAAAACAAAACCAGAATGCGCCTTTAAATAGAAATAAACAAAAACCAGAATGCGCCTTTAAATAAACAAAACTAAAAAGAAAAATCAATTTTGAAAGGGATACAATTAATCAGGGCACCAGAATGATGAATACATTTTTCAAATTTTTGATCATGATGTTAAAGATGGGTTTCCTTATTTTTTAGTGTCAAATTAAGCAAGCTATTTGACTAATTGGTTTTTCTAATGAATTATCATGTATTCTTAATCATATCATTATCATCTTATTGCATATTATAATAAGTTTTAACCAATCATAAATGTCCATGTAAGCACAGACTGGATAAACGAAAACAAACTTTTTGACCTTTCTTGATCGGTCACTCATTGGAATTATGCTGGTAATTCTCTTCTAATTTAGCTAATTTATTAATCAATTATGGACATGTCACATGTGAGAAAAACTGGTATTTTCCCAAGTCATTAGAACACCTCTACTTTCTATTCATATAAGTATTAGCATTTTCATTTTCATAAAAATTGTGCATTCATTATAGTCTAATTCTATAGATACTATAATGAATGCACAATTTTTACAATGTCAAAATAGTAACTTCAGACCTGTGTATTCTGTACTTAAAAATGGGTACCCTTATTTTCATTTATAAAAATGAAAATGCTAATACTTATATGAATAGAAAGTAGAGGTATTCTAATGACTTGGAAAAATAACTGTGACAGGTTACTTAAAAACTCATTTTAAAAAATTAAGCCAGTACAAACTACGACACCATTGTTGACCAAGAGAGGTATTTCAGATTTTGAAATGTCTTGATCCTTTAATGAGTTAATAAGTTGCCACCAATCTCTAGACCCATGATCTCGTTCTGTCCATTGATTTTATTGTCAATTTTCTCATGGTATTCTCTTTTGCATGTCCGAATTTAATATGCTAATTCCTGATTAATCTAAACTTTTCCAAATTTTCCTCAGAATTCGATCTGGTAGCTTTTTTTACAATTGTGTTCGTCTTTCTGTGCTCATGATACTGATTATATTGTTTATCCAAAGTTTGTCTCAGGTCAAATTGTCACAAATTTATGTGGGATATTGGATTTGGCTATCCTTATCAACTCATCTGTAGAAGATGTCAAAAATTGTTATCCATCTTGTCCTTTAATTTTATCGTAAAAGTTTCCCGTCACAGATTAGCCTTTTGAAAGATGCCAATTTTAGTCTTGATAATACTGTAACCGGCAATACACAAGCCGATGGTCACACCAAATTCTGTCAAGCCAGTATGATTCAAGCACCAAGCCAGGGCAATTTGGGTGTTCAAATTTTTATCAATGCGCATGAGTTCGTTCATAATTTCATGTCAAATAGGTTCATCGAAGTATGAAGGAAAGAAATGTTGTATTAAAGAAATCAATTTTGAAATCGCCAATAATATAAATTTTATCAACTAGGTTAGATGTTGCAAGTAAAAATGACTGGAGTATGGAATTATAAATCAAATTTCCTGAATTTGGTAGTCTATTGAATGACTAATGTTCAATATCCTGTATAACTATATAAATTTAGTCTAATAAGTCTTATAATAGTATTATATTTTAAATAATAATATAGAAATATTTCTACAATTGAGCACTATTTCAACAGTGAAAATATTTTATTGTTAGTATATAAATATATTTAACAAAAAAAAAAAACACAAGGAAATGGTATAACACACTTCTCTAATAATACAGTATAGTTATTGTTATTACAGAAATGTGTTATACCATAAAATTTTCAATGACTCTATATTTAATCTCTTCTGATCTTGTAAGTAAAGGTAGATATCATGAAATCTTATTGAACCCATCTGACTAAGATCTAATTATTTCATTGAACTGTTTGGATTAACACTAGTGGTTAATATTTCTGATTGATCCATTGGTTGTTGTTGTTCTTCAGGTTGAGCAGCATTTGTACTGCACTGTTCCAGACCAGGAAAAAAGTACAAACTTTTACCTAATGATGACCGCCATTCAGGACATTGTTTATTACGATCAATACTTGTTTCAGCTTTTTGAACTAAATTATTCACCTGGAAACAAATTTCAGTGTTCAAATTTCTTCTGAACATAATTATGTTTATGACGATTGCAGTCTGGAATTGTATTTAAGCAAAGTTAGAGTTAAGAGCCTATTTACTTCATCGCATCATATGGGGGATCGAATCCCCCTCAAGGTAAGAAAAATTCTGATGCCTGTTCCAGTGCTTTCGAGAGTCGACCCGTTACGGCTCTCAATCCCTAATATCTATATTAAAGGCCTTTTATTGACTGTACAGTTTTCAGCATTTTTAAGCCTACCTTGGTCATAATATTGACTAGTTCACAGCTATGAGCCCAGTATTTAAAGGCATAGACCACAGCTTGTATAAACCACGTTCCAATATTTACATCTCGCCAAGATACAAAACCTAAAATATAGATAATAAGTCCTAGAAATGTACGAAAATAGCATAATTCCTTCAAACTAGGAATTTTACTCACTATTTCTATATATGTCTTTTTTATATATCACAGAGTATCTTAAATTGACGATTTGTCAGTTTTTCATTCAATCACGGATAATTCTGGGCACACCAGGCCCGTAGCTAGCTCGGGGTCTCAGGGGGGCTAAATTTTTTTAAGGGGGGCTCAACTATATGATTTAAAAAGTCAATAAAGAAACTATACAATGGTGTAACCTATTTTCGTGGATATAAGGATTCAACACCGAATTTCGTGTCCACCGAAAAACGAATGTCTTAGATGTTTCCTCAGATATTCTACAAAATAATTAAAATTGGTTTATTTCGATTTTCTTTATGAATCCTTCACTTTGACCCAAATTTCATGAGCAACCGCAACGGCGACAGAATACGTCATCTATTTTCGTGTACAAAGTTTGATCTATAAATAAGTCTAGAAAAACACGTTGTATGGATACCGGGTGGTATAATTAACTTCTCTTAGTATTTATCTTTAATATCAATTCATTATAACTAGTGACAATTCCTTCAAAGAACCGCGATTTTAAAATAAAATAGTGATTGACAAAATAAGATAAGTAGATTGCTAAAAGTCACCGAAACAACATAAGAATATGGTCCACTTTGTGTTCCATAGGAATCTGCTAGTTGATCACGTGACTTCATTCGTTGTACGACATTCTAGCAGACGACTTGGATTTCGATTACCGCTTGGGATTGTAAGGAAATTCGGCCGATAAAAAATGGTGACGTTTGGTAACAAGTGAAATCCGCCATTTTGTATTTGTCAAAGTATACATTAATATTTTTACCTTGCTTGAAACTACTGAATTCATTCTACTAGCTGATATTGTACAGAAAACCCATGTTTATCAAACAAACAAATGCGGAGGTCGCACATGTAAATTATTAATCCTTTCCGGAAATCCACGAAAAATAGGTTTCCACGAAATTAGGTTACCTGACTGACATATACATTGAAAATATGTGTTTCACGGGATTGACAATCAACAATGATAGTAATCAACAATTACACCATCTGTAAGCGAGGGTGTTGTACAGCAAACCTACTTATAAAACAGTTTAAGTCAATTCCTGCTGTTATTTGGTGTTCAAAAGTCATCAGACAATTAAAAGCCTTAAAATTGCTCTTTGTCTATATAAAACGATAAAAACAGGACATTTTAACGTTAAGGTTGAATAATTTTCAGGGGAGGGGGGGGGGGCAAATATTTATTTGGTCTCTAGCTACGGGCCTGGGGCACACATGGATTTGAAGGCTCAAATTTCGTCCGTGAGCTGTGAATATTGTTAAGCTGCTTACCTTTCCTCGTGTATCCGTGTTTGAAAGTTACTCAAACGAATCCTCTTTTTAAGAGCTATCTTTTTGAAAAATGGTTAAAGACTTGATAAATCAAAATCATTGTAAACCGTATTTCTCATTTTAGACACTATCAACAAGACATACAACTTCGGAATACCCGAATTTTAAGGATAAGGATAAGCTTAGGAATAAATAAAAATAGTCATGACATCGTAATACACCAACAATTGTAATGATAGCCAACTCGTCCGTGAGATTGACAAGAGCTATCAGTAAATGAAATATTTCGAGAGTAACATTTTCATACTGCACAAGCTTTATTCAGAACTCTTTTTCTTCTTTTCATTTGATTTTCAATAGGATTCATCCTTAGGTGATAATAATCAATTTCGTCAAGTTTCATCTAAATCAGTCTATTGTATCCACAACACATTTTCAAGAACAAGTGCAATAACTCATCAAATATTTTTCGATTTGTCTTATTTTCGATAGAGTAATCCTTATCTTACTACTGGATGTGTTTTATCTTACTACTGTATGTGTTTTATCTTACTACTGGATGTGTTTTATCTTACTACTGAATGTGTTTTATCTTACTACTAGATGTGTTTTATCTTACTACTGGATGTGTTTATATTACTACTGGATGTGTTTTATCTTACTACTGGATGTGTTTTACCTTACTACTGATTGAGTTTTATCTTACTACTGAATGTGTTTTATCTTACTACTGAATGTGTTTTATCTTACTGCTGGATGTGTTTTATCTTACTACAGGATGTGTTTTATCTTACTACAGGATGTGTTTTATCTTACTACTGAATGTGTTTATCTTACTACTGAGTGTGTTTTATTTTACTACTGAATGTGTTTTAGCTTACTACTGGATGTGTTTTATCTTACTACTACATGTGTTTTAGCTTACTACTGGATGTGTTTTATATTACTACTAAAGGAGTTTTATCTTACTACTGAATGTGTTTTATCTTACTACTGAATGAGTTTTATCTTACTACTGAATGTGTTTTATCTTACTACTGAATGTGTTTTATCTTACTACTAAAGGAGTTTTATCTTACTACTGAATGTGTTTTATCTTACTACTGAATGAGTTCTATCTTACTACTGGATGTGTTTTATCTTACTACTGGATGTGTTTTAGCTTACTACTGAATGTATTTTATCTTACTACTGAATGTGTTTTATCTTACTACTGAATGTGTTTTATCTTACTACTGAATGTGTTTTATCTTACTACTGGATGTGTTTTATCTTACTACTGGGTGTGTTTTATCTTACTACAGAATGTTTTATCTTACTACTGGATGTGTTTTATATTACTACTGAATGTGTTTTATCTTACTACTGGATGTGTTTTATCTTACTACTGGATGTGTTTTATCTTACTACTGAGTGTGTTTTATCTTAATACTGAATGAGTTTTATCTTACTACTGGATGTGTTTTATCTTACTACTGAATGTGTTTTATCTTACTACTGAATGTGTTTTATCTTGCTACTGGATGTGTTTTATCTTACTACTGGATGTGTTTTATCTTACTACTGGGTGTATTTTATCTTACTACTGGATGTGTTTTATCTTACTACTGGATGTATTTTATCTTACTACTGAATGTGTTTTAGCTTACTACTGGATGAGTTTTATCTTACTACTGGATGAGTTTTATCTTACTACTGAATGAGTTTTATCTTACTACTGAATGTGTTTTATCTTACTACTGAATGTGTTTTATCTTACTACTGAATGTGTTTTATCTTGCTACTGGATGTGTTTTATCTTACTACTGAATGAGTTTTATCTTAATACTGAATGAGTTTTATCTTACTACTGGATGTGTTTTATTTCACTATATGTAACGTATATTGTGAATTTCATAAGTTATCAATAGAATCATAATGTTATAACTCTCCTCGACATCCCACCTGCACTCATTACATGTCAGGGGTAATCCAGTCAAAAGTTGTATTTGGGTGTATACTTAAGTAAAACAGCTAATTTGGATAATTAAATTCAACGCGAGAGAGCCAACATGGACTCATAATTACCTGGGCTTGCTGCCATGGAGATAAACATATCAGCTCTTCTGGCTATATTAGACGAGTTTGTATCCTCTTGACCGTCGGGTCCGTCACCAAAAGTTAGTCTATCAGCTTTTTGGGCAATTTCATCAATGTCTTTCTTGTCCTCTTCTGTCATGTTTTTATGCGTTCCCGGATCATACAAATCTAAAAATATATGTTATTATAAGTTAATTTTACAAGTAGTAAACATAGGAAATGTCTTGCAATGAAATATTTGAGGAAATCATCACTAATTCACCATCTCTCCTTCAATGCAATTCTAAAATACATCACATGCCCCCCTTCTTCAAAAAATTGGTTGACCCGGCTTTGAAAAATGACTTACACAAGTACAGGTTTTTTTGCACAAATAGATAACCAAAAGCGACAACGTTTTTAAAATTAGTAATAATATGGATACAGTTGTCAATGGCTTCCTCTGTTTTAGCGCACGATAAGTTATATGATATACTGCTATAGACTCACTTCCCTGGCAAGCTTGAATGAAAAACAGTTTTGGTTTTCCACATAAGCTTGAACATGCTATCGAATCAAAACTGTCAAAGATATCATTGATGAACACCTCCTTGCCATCTACACCAAGAACATTACCACAGGAACCATGAGATAAAATCACCAACACAAAACAATCATAATTGGAGTGGTCAAGTTCTTTGTACCACTTTACTATGCTTTTTATTTCCTTAAAATGAGTATAATATAATAACATATAATCGAATAAATGTAAATGTCACTTCCCAACTTTCTAATAGGTTTTGTACATCTTTCGTCTACCTTAAAGGAACAGATTCGGCATATACGGGAGTAAATCATCAGAATCTCAGAAACGAGAAACTAATCAGTAGTGATGTCCACAGCTTACCGTCGAAATTGGACCTTTAAATCCAAGTATTTCCGTAAACATCTATATTTTAATGTTATTTTAAGAAACTTTATATTTTGAATATACGTTGATGACAACATATGTATACAGTAGACTCAATCACTCTGTCACACTTCGTTTACGTACAGCTGCGATGGAAGATGTATTGGACAATATATCAACAAGTTTTTTGTTGGATGTCTATTTGAAGGAATTATGCGATTTACCGTGAGCCAGCCAACTTGCCAATTTTCAATGTATCTACTTCGGGTTAGCGGGTTTCACGGCAGAATGTTATCTATTTTGTAAAGAAAATGATGCTGTGTTGCTATTTTCATTGCTTATTTATTTTTAAAGGATGGAAATCACCAATATAACTACTTTTTTCTTATTAATTGAATAAATAGCTAAGTCAATAACCATGCTTTTACTTTCACTTTGGTTTTTACTCGACAGAAAATTACAGCTGAATCAACCGGAAGTAGATGCATTGAAACGATGGATGTAATTTTTTTTTAGTATTTTTATTGAACAATAGTTAGATTAGTAAGAAGAGGAACACTGAGGGAGATATAAAGTAGGTCTTGTGTGAAGGGAAAATATTCAACGAAACGATTCATATAAGGTTGGGATTATGTTTCATTACGGTAAATGGTAGAAAATCGTCTGAAGCGGAGATGGTCGTGACAAGCGTTAGCCACCTTCTAATATTATATACTACTATAGAGAGAGTCGACTATTGATAGAAACAGATGCCTTTTATGGAACGCCGGTGCGATATCAATTCTAAATGCTGAATGCTAAATGAAGAAGGGCCAATAACTTGAAATGAGAGGGAGGGAGGGGGGTCTCTTGCGACAATCCACGCTGTAATCAATGGATTTCATCTACAATCACTATCCCCAATCTATAGTCACTATATACCTACCCACTATCATCTATAATCACAATCCTCTATCTATAGTCACTATACACCTACCTACCATCATCTACAATCACTATCCTCTATCTATAGTAACCTACTATCATCTAAAGTAACTATCCTAGATACAAAGTCACTATACACAAACCTACTATTATCTACAGTCACTATCCTCTATCTAAAGACACTATACACCTACCTACAATGATTTACAGTCCCTATCCTCTATCTATAGTAACTATACACCAACCTACTATAATCTACAGTCACCATTCTCTATCTATAGTCACTATACACCTACCTGCTATCATCTAAAGTAACTATCCTAGATACAAAGTCACTATACACCAACCTTCTATCATCTACAGTCACTATCTTCTATATATAGTCACTATACACCAACCTACTATCATCTACAGTCACTATCCTCTATCTAAAGCCACTATACACCTACCTACAATGATCTACAGTCCCTATCCTCTATCTATAGTCACTATATACCTACCTACTATCTTCTACAGTCACTATCCTCTATCTATAGTCACTATACACCAAACTACTATCTTCTACAGTCACTATCCTCTATCTAAAGCCACCATACACCTACCAACTATCATCGACAGTCCCTATCCTCTATCTATAGTCACTATACATCAACCTACTAACCTCTACTTATAGTAATTATACACCTACCTACCATCACCTACAATCACTATCTTCTGTCTATAGTCACTATACACCTACCTACTATCATCTACAGTAACTACGGTAGTTGAGACTGATAATTGCATTCTTGTTACCATTAACACATTATAATCATTGACCAATTTTTTTACCTCTGCAGTTTGGTTATTGTGAATATCAACTGTAAAATATAACTGTTTGAAAAGATTCTGCAAAGAAATCACATCTTCCTCTGTGCCATCTCGATCTTCAAGTTTTGTGCCTTCATTAAAGTTCTTATTATTCACCACAACACAGAATCCTCGTGGGTTTGACGTCATCCTGTAATTCTGCAATATTTCAAGCATATAAAGTGAACAAATAAAAAATACAATGCAAATATGAGGTATATACGGAGGTTTAATTTTGAATTAAAAAACTAGAATATAATTATATAACATATTTTGAATTTAAAACATGTATTTTCACCCGGGTGAAAATTCTAGGATTTTGAATTAAAACATTGAATTACCTACCACCGGGGAAATTTTCACCCAGAAGATAATTCTAGAATTTTTAATTAAAAGAATTCAAGATTTTAATCAACTTTTCATCCAAGTTTTGGCGTCTACCATGTCTGTCGAACCGATCCAATTGACTCTGTAAAACTTTTAAGACGTGGATTTGCATACTCCAGCAATTTAACCATTTACAAGGAGCTATTATACAACAAAGACAAGGAAGATATTTGGAACGGTTCTACAGACATGGATATCGTTGAAAACTTAGATAGGTTGATCAGTGAGGTTCGAAATCGGATATGGCCGAGGATGTTGAATATTATTGGTCCAAAGGCCTGCAAAACCTTTTCGAGAGGTGCGAGTGAATCGAGGGTACCTGCGGAAACCTTGTGATAAGTGATAAAAAATCATTTTGTTGCTGTCGGTGACCAGATATTGCTCGCATGTACGCTATCATATTCACAATGTCAAGCTATTGCGAACTTCGTACTTATACCTTCACTGTAATAGTCACCTTTCTTGCATCATGGAAGTTTGGAAATGAAGCGATTTAATTGGAACTTACAATCAGAGGCTTCTACGGAAGGTCTGAGATCACAAAGCCATAGCCTAATGTTTTCAGCCTTTTTCTTTCGAGGGCTCTGATTGGGTTGTATTCGCTGGCGTACAATCAATGGCGGTCCAGGTACTTTAGGTGACACATGGCGGCAATATTTTGTAGCTGCACGACGTGAAGTGCCTCCTCATTGTTTATGTCGGCAGGCCAAATTACGATTTGTCCGCGAATCTTGAAATTAGGTCAACGCATGCGAGAGGCGCTCAGCTGAGATCTAGTGGTACTCCCATTACATTTATTGGGTTCACACTAGCCGACGTTTAACCTGAAATATGGGACTGTAGCAGAACGCACAAGAAAAACGTGATCATAGTAGGATCGTAAATAAAGGTTGGTAAACTCAGTCATAGTCGTATTAAGAACTCTATAAACGCAGTTAAAACCCAAAGGGAGTACAATACGCGAACTGTGGGAATAACCTTCTAGTGGCATTGGACCGATGAACAAAATAACATCATCTGTTGTCATTAAGATCGTTAAGTTAACAAAATTACCCACCTCAGACGAATGTATGAGAACGTTCGTTGCAATGCATTTCGTTACATTGACAATCTTCGGATCATCATTTTTATCAGGAAATACTGTAAACATAATGTAAGATAATTGTTTTTTAACTTTTATGCAAAAACGCTACAAGAAAGGCAATCTGATTGAAATAAGATTACAATTTCGTATCTTTATCTTTTTCTGTTATTTTTAGTCTACATTGTAATCTAAATATATTTCAACCAAAAAACGTCCTAAAGGTGGTATTTTAAATCAATCAAAGCGTGTCATGTTAAACCAGTTTCTCGATAAAATAAAGAGTGGCATCCTCTTGGGATTCGCAATGCCACAATTCTTTATTTCAACAATAATCATGCAAAGTGTAATTTAGATCTTAAAATTCGTAATCCACCCATGAATTATCTATTAAATATGTTTAAATATGAAATCTACGGTGTCTTTGGTTTCCATCACACGAGGTACTTTAAACTGATTGAAGGAGTCTGAGGTGCATGACCCGTACAGATAGCGTAGTTGATGGAAGAGAAATATACGGTACCTGGTGGTAACTGGCGTGATGCATGATGGTCGTCAGATCCGGAACACAGCATCTTGCTTTGTTAAATAGTCAATTATTCACGACTTTTCAGTATTTGTTTTGGCTTGGACTGAATTGAAAAAGCAATTTAGACATTTTGATTTCTTAGAACTAGATAAATTTAAATGGAACGGTGAAAGAGTGTCTTAACTATTTTTCATGTCCTACCCACAGGGTGGGTTTTAAAAGCCAACCGCCTACCCTGGCATACCGGAATGAAAAAAAGGCGTTAAAATGAGCATTGTTAAATTTAAGGATCGTAGATTTTCATACTACAAAACGAAACTATTCAATTTGACGAAATTTTTGTTGACGTCAATATTATGGAATCAAAATTATTTTAAAAATGAAACGAAACAAATTAATATTTCTTTTTTTAGCTTTGAGATATTTTCCTTCACATTTTCTGATTCAATTCGTGTTTAAAATAGCAATAATCTCTTTTAAAAATAAAATCGGGCACACAATAAAACGTACAAAAACCTCTATATTTTTTTAATGATCACAACGACTAAACAAGGTCGTTTGTTTCAGAGTTACTTCCCTTAACTTTTTATTGTCGTCGGGAACAGTGTTAGTGTTATGGGTAATTTGACCAGACTAGTAATGGACTTGGCGGAAGAAGACATAAGTTGGTCACGACGGTTGAAATAAATAATTTGAAAATCAAACAGTAATTTTCTATGGATCTGAGGACAAAATTAATATACAAGAGCTATTACTCTGACAAATTGTTCTAGGTAGGTGTACATGCTGAGACAATGCTAGGTAAGAATGGTCTGTATTTGGGGTAAGTATACAAGATCGGCACCTACAGTCTAAAAAGATATATGAGATCAGTAAATAGGATAGGAATACAACTAGGATAGGTATACAGGACCAGTAGCAGGATTAAGTAACAAAGATCAACAACTGCAGTATGCAAGCACTATCCACCTCCAGGATAAATAGGAGACATCCACAAAATTTAATATGGTGGGTATATAAGATCGGCAAGAATACGATGTCAGCAACTGTGGTAAGTAATGGATGACCACAAATATGGTAAGTTACAAAGACAGCTTCTAGGGCAAGAAGCAAGATCAGCAATTAGATTATTTATAGAAGATCAGCATCTAAGGTAAGTATACAAGGACAGCAATTAATGTATGTATACTTCAAGGTTACTAGACGGTAAGTACTAGTAGGTATACAAGATCAACAGCGGGGTTAGTAAGCAAGATCATCAACTAAAGTATGTGAACAACTAGGGAAGGTATACAAGATCCACCATTACGGTAAGCAAGAAATATTCACAAATGTAATATATATATATGGTTGAGGTTAGGTAACAAAGACCAAGATTTTAAAATATCACTTAAAAGGGCAAATACGATATGGTTAAATGGCGAATCTATTTTCAATGGGATGTCCACATGTACAGGATGCGAAGTCACCAACGTGTCTTAAGAACGTGTAGGTTGAGGTCACTCATTCTATTTCGGAGTCTGTGGTGCACTATTTGGACCGATCTTTCGCCAAGGAAATAATACGATGGTGAAGACGCAATGGATTTTATCTGTAGTTTGAATTCTTTTATACTACATAATGAAGATATGTTTTCGGGTAATGCGTTCCAATCACGGATAGTGGATGGTAAAAATGAATCAGAATAGAGTTTAGAGCTAGTAAAAAGTGTTCGTAGCTTGAGACCATGACGTGTATTGTAGTCATAAGAAGATCCCATATGATTGAATGATTTGTCAAGTGATATATGAAGAAATATTGCGACCTTTATAATATATTATTCCGTGAAAGCCTTTGAACCTTTAGGAGATAAAACTGACACTCGGACCTATTTATGCATATAATGTTACATTATGACTATCGGTTTACCAATTCATTACACGCATTATCAGTTTAAATCCATAGCTTACGCATGTTCCTTAAACAACGTACGATTATTCACATCTAACTGTAGCTTGAACAATCCCATATTCTCGGCATTACAAACTATTAACCTCCCTTGACAAACCATGCGTCACCATCAAATTAATCCAATCAGGAATCTTTGGCGTAGAAGGATGGTGCTTGCAAATGGCGGCCTCCATCGAATTATCCGGAAATGTTGCAGTTTCGTATTAAAGATGGGTTCCCTTATTGTATTCATACGCATTATTGTCACATGACAAACTACAGTTATTGGTAAATAAACGCCGGAATCTAATTGGTAGAGAAAGAAAACTCTCTACAAATCAAAATTAATGACGAGAATGTGGGATTGTGAGAGCAACGGCTACATGATCATTATCATGTAACGTTGCTTAACGAACATGTAGCTTACGAGGATTTTGTTTGTTTTGCTACCAATGGCGTAATTGTATATTTATGCAGATAAGCACAACATATGATGATATTTACATTTCTACTATCACTCCCTTCAATAAACCAGTTAGCTAAACCGGCGTTTATTTTCCAATAACTGTAGTTTGTCACGTTACAATAAATGCGTATCGAAAACGAACAAGGATTGACCCAAGTTTTTTATCTAGATTTGGAACGCAATTTTGAAAGGGTTTCTAACAAGTATTTTAAATCAAGCCATATTAAACAGATTCCGTTTTTTATAAGAAGAAATAAAGTGTTAATTTTGCACTTGATTTGAAACATTGGTAGACTAAGTTTGAAGAGAGAAATGACTTCAAACAGTGGCGTTTCTGGAAAACATTAGGCGAAGAGGCCGAGCAGAGGTCACAGATTTTCTTCTAATAAAATGGTAAAAAATTTGAAAAGAAAAGAAAGAATGTCGGGTTATATCACGAGAATATCAGTAAGGACCGCCAACTTGCTGCAAGCTACAAGGAATTGGAATCTGGTCCTATTAAAGTAGTGAGCAATACATAAATTGTAGAGCAATATAGATATCTATATAAAATTACAGATAACAAATATCACTCTACTATTGATATAAAATAAGCACTATGTTAACAGTGAAAATATTTCATTATCGTAAAGTACAGATAAATACTGAAAGATATCAAAAAAAATATTACAATTTTTATCTTTTTTAAATTTAATGAGTATATTTAATTTAAAATTGAAAAAAAAAACTTTAAAGGGGCATTCCGCTTTTTTTGTAAAACATTTTCATTATCAAAACGTCGTTAATTATACCTGAAAAAAATTCGACCTACAATAAAGCGAAATGTCCGTTTAAAAGATAGACCTAATTGTAACTACGACCCACCTTAATATTTAAGAAACTGAGTACTGTTTTTGGTGATGGTTGATTACAAGATAACTCTGGTTCAAGATGACTCCCATCACATCGCGTAGTCGCTTTTTTTAATACTTTGAATTGCATTATAGGTAATAGGGGTGTCTCAATATCTTATTTCTTTTTAATGATGGCTCGTCGCCAAAATCTTTATTGACTATATAGCGTCAGCTAAACTCATGATTTGAGGAAGATAAGATCAATATCTCGGGGAATCGTGTAAATGATGATACAAGCAACAAAATTGGCAATAAGTTCAATGAGTAATACTTATCAAATCTTTCCGATTGGCCAATTGAAAATTCAACAAGGGGGTAATTATTCAAGATGGCTGCCATGTAAGCCCTCTGACGTCCACATTTTGCTAAAAAGAAATTATTTGTAATATAGGTTTTTGTCATATTGGTGACATCACTGCTGTCAAACTGGGGTTCAGTGTCAACCAACCTGCTCGTCAACATCGGTGGTTAGTCAAAAAAACCATGACGGCTTCTCAGATATATAGGTAGCACAGTGTAGGTCGGATATTTACGTAAGACAACATACTGCAAGGGATAGTTACGTTTTGGGCAAGGGAGCTTATTTGTAATAGTTTGGATTTTATATATCAGATTAGCACAAGAAAGTATGATTGTAATTGATCGGATCATACAAACTCCGACATTTCCAAGCCTGCCTTGTTTCTAAAAGAAGATACAACGAAAATACAATACAGAGTACGATTTATATAGAGAGTACGTTATATATACAGGGTACGTTATATATACAGAGTGCGTTATATATACAGAGTACGTTATATATACAGGGTACGTTATATATACAGGGTACGTTATATATACAGAGTACGTTATATATATAGAGTACGTTATATATACAGAGCATGTTATACATACAGGGTGCGTTATATATACAGAGCATGTTATATATACAGGGTACGTTATATATACAGAGCACGTTATATATACAGAGTACGTTATATACAGGGTACGTTATATATACAGAGCATGTTATATATACAGAGTACGTTATATATACAGGGTACGTTATATATACAGAGCACGTTATATATACAGAGTGCGTTTTATGTGAAATATTGATATAGATATGATTCCAAAATCGGGCTACGATCATAATTTTTTTGTGTTAATCAAGAATATTGAATTTTAAACGATTTTTGACACGGAATTTTGCGTTACCGGTAGGCCTACCTTCCTTGTCCAACTGCATGGTGCTCCAAGCGGCGAGACTTTCTGACCTATTCAGCACCGTGTTAAATACATATCTGGCCAAAATCTTGTTTAGAAATGGAGATTGTTCAAAGTGCTTACATCGCCAGAACATGCATGTAACTCCTAATAGATTACCATACACTATAGTCTATTCTTTTAAAAAAATAAAAAACATTTTGTTGGTTATTTTTAATGAATATATGCGTAAAGATAAATAATTCCGTCTTATTCTTATTAGCGACGCAAAGCTTACGTGGCAAATAGCCTTATGAGGGATTGTTTACCACGTAGTGATAAATACCCCCAGCTAATATAATTTATGTGAAATATAATGTCCATGTCATAAGTATTATTTATTGAATGTTTCATTGTGAGATTTTCCTTAATTAGAGACAAATTTTCTTGCTCATTGGAAACGTAATCGTAAAAATATATCTGGTTCATGCGTGATCATTAGGACTCACTCCCTTCTACAACTTTTATGTTAACAGTGAAAATATTTCATTATCGCAAAGTACAGATAAATATTGAAAGATATCAAAAAAAAATATTACAATTTTTATCTTTTTTAAATTTAATGAGTATATTTAATTTAAAATTGAAAAAAAAATTTTAAAGGGGCATTCCGCTTTTTTTGTAAAACATTTTCATTATCAAAACGACGTTAATTATACCTGAAAAAAATTCGACCTACAATAAACAGAAATGTCCGTTTAAAAGATAGACCTAATTGTAACTACGACCCACCTTAATATTTAAGAAACTGAGTACTGTTTTTGGTGATGGTTGATTACAAGTTAACTCCGCTTCAAGATGACTCCAATCACATCGCGTAATCGCTTTTTTAAATACTTTGTATTGCATTATAGGTAATAGGGGTGTCTCAATATCTTATTTCTTTTTAATGATGGCTCGTCGCCAAAATCTTTATTGACTATATAGCGTCAGCATAACTCATGATTTGAGGAAGATAAGATCAATATCTCGGGGAATCGTGTAAATGATGATACAAGCAACAAAATTGGCAATAAGTTCAATGAGTAATACTTATCAAATCTTTCCGATTGGCCAATTGAAAATTCAACAAGGGGGTAATTATTCAAGATGGCTGCCATGTTAGCCCTCTGACGTCCACATTTTGCTAAAAAGAAATTATTTGTAATATAGGTTTTTGTCATATTGGTGACATCACTGCTGTCAAACTGGGGTTCAGTGTCAACCAACCTGCTCGTCAACCTCGGCGGTTAGTCAAAAAAACCATGACGGCTTCTCAGATATGTAGTTAACACAGTGTAGGTCGGATATTTACGTAAGACAACATACTGCAACGGATAGTTGCGTTTTGGGCAAGGGAGCTTATTTGTAATAGTTTGGATTTTATATATCAGATTAGCAGAAGAAAGTATGATTGTAATTGATCGGATCATACAAATTTCCAAGCCTGCAGTAGTATATGTCTTTTCAGATATTGCGCATCCAGTTTGATCCGGTTTTGAGATGGCAGATATATGTCTTTTCGGATATGACGCGCATTCGCAGCTTTTTCAATGCGTCATATCCGAAAAGACACAACTGTTAAAATGTATTATAACAGACTCCCCAAACTGTTAAAAATGTATTATAACAGACTTCCCAAACTGTTAAAAAAATATATCATAACAGATTCCTCCAAACTGTATTATAAATTACCCAAACCACAGACAAGATTCACTATAATAATACAGTATCAAATAATCACATTAAAAATGTCTTTAATTTTAAAACACGAACAAAAAAATTCGAAGGAGACGGTTTCTTCTCTGCACTAACATCTCTCATCCCCAAAGTGGCCAATTTTGTCTCAAACAACAAATCCCTCATTTCCTCAGAAGCGCAAGCTCTTGGATCTGTGGCAAAAGCAGGAGTAAATATTAGCGATGCAGTGAAAAAATCTGACGAACTTAAAGAACTGCAGCTAATAAGAGAACTAAGAAACAAGAGACTAGAACGACAAGCCCTAGAAAAACAAGGAAAAGGGTTTAAAATCATTGGATAAAAATGGCAAGCAAAAATTACAGATTGGATCCAATCTTTCAATTGTATGATCCGATTCAATATTCGTTCAAAAGAAGAAAGAGGATTACGTAAACCATCGGTAGGGACAAAGACCCAAATAAACGACGGAGGAAGAGTTACCTTTGAAATTAATTCGTTGTCCAATTGGTTGCTGCTTTCCGATGCCCATTTCCGATGCGATGTCAAAATCAAAGACGCCACTCAGAATCGAATTCCACAAACCAACACGACTTTAGAAAACAACTTCTTTCCGTCTTTATTCAGCGAAATGGTTTTTGGTTCAAATCCGATAGAGACCATAAAACACCCCGCCGAGTTTGACACAATGTTGAAAACGGTTCTGTATCCCAAAAACAACGATTCAGTTTCGGGATGGATTCCCGATGTCGGTGACGGAGAAGTTTTAAAAGAACCGGTCAGAACTGTAGCAAATGACGCAGACCTTGCTAGGATAAGGGTAGTTGCTTGATACACACTGGAAAGAGTGACTCGCGGAGTAAATCACGGATTTGAAAAACGAGCGCTTCAATACAACAATGTTGTCGAGAACAACAGATGGGGTAATTACGTAAATTGGAAGTTGTATCCTTTATTTGGTCTCTTGGAACACAGAAAGGTTTCCATAGGTTTACCGTATAAAATTCATTTGCAAAGAGAAATCAACGACAACAAGATATTCTTTGGTGAAAACAACTCTGACGCAAAATTGGAAATAACGAATATCCAACTTTACATACCGGTAATCACTCCTTCTGTAGAAGTGGAAACGAGAATATTCAACTCTTTAACCAAAGACATCGAAATTGCTTTTCTTCGTCGTTACACGGTAGGTAGCATGACTTTAACGGGAGAATCCACCACGTGGCCAATCACCAACACCGTCAAACCAGCGAGATATCTAATGGTCGGTTTCAAAAACTTGCCAGACTCTCAGACGAACAACAACAACATTTTCAGAGTGGCATTGAACCATACTCAAGATCCGATCATTCGCAAAGTTCAAGTCAGATTGAACAACGATAATTATCCCAATCAACCTTTGACAATTGATCCTTCCAAAAAAGATTACAACGAATTGTACAGAAACTATAAAAACATGTGCGAATTGTTTGGAAATACGCCTCAGTTTGAATACACAGATTTTTCACTCAATCATCCAATCTTTTGTTTCGATCTGTCAGCTCATCAAGAAGATCTTTTCAAAACAGGGGTAAACATAAATATTCACATCGATAAAGCACACGGAGATGTGACCGGCTACTGTTTATTGCTGGAAGAAGCAAAACATTTGATTAAAATATCAGATAAAAGAATGATAAGAATTGAATAAAAAAAACACCCTTTAAAATTGAAACCAGAAACTTTAGTCAAGAAAATAATAGAAGCTATAGAAACAGCTTCACCAACTACAATAACTTATAATGGTAAAAAAATCAGCATAACTAAAAAAACTTATTGATAAATACAAATATTGTAAAGTCAGAGACGATATAGACTTGGAAAGAATTGATGAGAATTTAACTAAAAAAGGTGGATTTTTACCTTTCTTACCTTTAATCTTTGCTGGTTTAGCTGCAGCTGGTGCAACTGCTAGTGGAGCTGCAGGGATAGCCAAAGCTGTCAGCGATAAGAAAGCTGAAGCCGCTGCAAACGCCGAAGCACGTAGACACAATTTGGCAATGGAAAGAGAAGCACGAGGAGATTCGGGAGTAGGAGATATATTAGGGACGGTTAAAGAATTCGGACAAAGATTTGGCGAAGAAACCAAGAAAACCGTTAAAGAGGGATTAAGCAAATTAATAGATAAAATCGACACTGGAGAAATGAAGGTCAAACACAAGGGCAACGCCATATTTTTTAAAAACATACGTTCGGGCGAGGGAATCTTCCTTTCAAAGTATAAAGGCAACGGGTGATTTTTGGTACGAAAATGTAATAAATAAAAATGGGCAAGAAATTCAAACATTCGGACATATTTCCTAGTAACCCAATGCTCATGTGTATTTGCGGTAGTTCAGGTTCTGGGAAAACTCATTTCACTTTTAACATGTTGACAACACCAAACCTTTTAGATTTCGATTCTCTGTATATCTACACAACAACACCAGAGCAATCGCATTATCAATTCCTCAAAGCTTTAGAATATTTACCAAAGAAAGACGTTCAAGACATATTTCAATATTACGAAGAAAACGAATAAGAAGTGGAAATAAAAGATATCATAGAAAACTTCATTAAATCAAAGAATCCATCTTTCAATCCAACGGATATAAAAGTTTTTCTTACTAAAAATGTTAATGATCTAGACTTGTCTAATATTGATTGCAATCGAAAGAACTTAATAATTATTGTTTGACGACTGCGTAGCGCAAAGAAATCAAACTGTTCAACAAGAATTCTTCACCAAAGAAAGACATCACAACTGTCACTGCATATACCAATCCCAATCTTTTTACGGGATGGATTCTATGTTCATTAGAAAAAATGCAAATTGTTTTTTATTATTTGAATTAAATGATAAAGATTTATCTCAAATCATTCAGTCTATAAATCATGGAATGGATAGAGATACATTTAAAAAGGTTTGTAAAGCTCAATGGAGAAACCCAGATGATCATGGATATGTATTTGTAAATACTAGAAAACCTGCGGGAGAAAGAGTTATGATCAATATATGTTAATTTTATTTTTTTAAAAATGACGGATTGGAATAATTTTTTTAAAAGAAATAGAGAATATATCAAAGCTAAGAATAAAATAAAGACCCAAGTTGAAAATAACAGATTACAACAACTCAGATTAACGGAAAATCTACAGACTCTATTTCAACCAATATTAAAAAGTCAAGAAGATATTAAAAAGAGACTCGCTATAGAACCTTCACCCCATAAAGATCCACCGATTGAATATGGTGGTATTAAGACATTAGATGATATAAAACGTCTTTTTTCAAACCCTGACCCAGATTTACCAAAGAGCATTTCACCAATCATTGATGAAGTGGGGTTATTGTTTAATGGTTTTAGAATAAGATTTAGTGGAAATTCACCACGATTCAAAATCGACACAAAAGACTTTATATTTACATTAACGAGAGGGTTAATAGATTTAATGAATGGCGAGGATGTTGAAATTGCCGATTACAAGGATTTAGTAGCATACTCAAAATTTCTACATGCGATCAGAAAGTCAGGACTCGAAACAAGAAGATTGAAAGAAGTTGATTTATATATAACAAAAGTCATTGAGGAAGAGGATGTAGATGATTATGCAGAAGATTATCCAATCATACAAGAAATAGACGAATTGGTGGCATCTGGACAAGGTATTACTTTTTTATCCGACAACAACGAGGAACTAGTTAATAGATTACGAGTAATATTCGCGGTAATGAAGGAAGGTCATCGATCGGAGAGACAATACAACGAAGTCTTGGAGAAAAAAATCATCACTAAAAAAGACTACATAAACGTCATTAAAAATGTCCAATAAAGAACAATTGTTCGTTATCACCTCGAACAAATCAGACATCAAATTGTCTCTAGACTACGAGTATGAACTCGATCGCAATAAACAGTACGAACTGGGATTAAAGTATTTCTCCGTTTACAATTCCATTAGAAACATCAACGAAAAAAACAATCAACTAAAAATATCGACGGATAACGGAGTTACGTTCAAAACCATAAGCTTACTAGCGGGAAGCTACGAATACGTAGCCATCAACGATTACCTATCCGAATACTCAGGAAGCGTGAACGGCAAAAACAATATCGAATTCGAAGGTAATTTGAATCTGAACAAAATCAAAACTGATCTTGAGAAATAACAGTCAAGTCGATTTCAACGTAGAAAATTCGTTGAATGTGTTACTAGGGTTCGATAAACGAATATGCGCGCAATCGACATTGGCGCCGCACAAGGCCAACATCGAGAACGACATCGACGTGATCAACATTCACTGTAATTTGATCAACGGTGGATTTTTCAACAAGCACAAACGCCAAATCATATACAGCATACCGACTTTTACGGTGCCGATCGGATACAGAATTATAGGGAAACCGTTTCAAACGACCTATTTACCAGTCAATTCTTTCATGATCAAAGATATAAATCTGGAAATCAAAGACGGTAAAAACAGGTTCATAGACTTTGGCAACGAAGAAATTGTCATTCAACTTCATTTAAAACAATCTTCATTCTCTTCTTGAATAGTAAGATAATCGAAATCATCAAATTCATAGTTTTCATCAAAACTATACTCATATTTGTCGTTGTAAGGATACATAATTCCTTCACTGTTTGGTGGTTTTCTTTTAACATTATTCAAATAACTTCTAAAAACTTTAGTTTGTTTATCATTTGGAATAACTACTCCATTGGTGAAACCTTTTTCCCATGGTTTATTAAATTCGTTTGACACATCATGTCCGCTTGCTAACTGAACGTAATCTTCTACACTTATCTTATCATTAGAATAACCTTTAAACGTTTTCTTTTCTTTTGACACCATCAGAGGTCAAAACGATGTTGTATTTGACTTTTGGTGCTAAATATAAACCAAATATAATTCCACCGTCACCGTAATCGTTTTTACCTTTGCAATAGTCTTTTTCGGAGACCAAACCAGCTCTGTTTAGTTTTTCATATTTTTGGATGAAATGTACAAACTATCGGTGTCGGTATAGTATATTTCGGGTTTATAAAATCCATTTATGACGTGAATGAAATTGTTCATTATTTTTTTACTGTGAGATAAAACGAATGATCCCAAATGACTAGGTGTTAGTCGTGTAGATTTACTATCTTCGGTAGTAATCTCTTTTTCTTCAATTTCTGTTTCAACAGTATATTGAGTATCATTAATTTTCTCATAGGTTTTAACACGTGAATCAAAGTTGGCCTGTAAAGTTGCTTCATTCCATAAATGTCTAGTTGTGAATATATATTTCTGAATTGATTTACCATACAAGGAATTACCCAATAATTTCATGCAATTACTACCCACGATATTACCTTCTCGTTTATATTTATTTCTTAGATCTCTCAAAATTAAAATATAATCTCTATAGGGTGGAGTTTCAAAATTTTCTTCGTAAACTATACCATCTAATATTCTAATAATTCGTCCACCGGCTTTCACTATTTCTTGAATATCAACCGATGTTAAAACGTCGTAGAAACGGTCTTCCACTTTCCGCTCTCGGATATTCACTGTCTAAATCCGACATGGCGGAAGCGTATAAACCGTTAGCATCAAATGCCATTGTTTAGTACATTCTATTTTTTTAAGTCTCGAATGAACCTCCGTTTTGTTTTTTTGTGCTTGCACTGTATTCTTTGAATAAATCAATTATGTTATTACTTTCTGTTTGTGAAATATATTCCTTTAATACGTTACGAATTTCATCCATTTTGTTCGTTTCAAATGATTTTCTATTTGCCGAAACTCTTCCTCCTTTAATAGATCGTCTGATAAAATTTCTTATAAAAGGATTAGTGTGCGAATAAACTTTTTCTATATTTTCTTTTTCGGTATGTTTCGCAACCATTCTAGTAGTTTCATACCATTCTTCTTCCACCATTTCTTTATCGTAATGATATAAATAATACCAACCCTTTAAAGATAAAGATGGAGCCGTTAGATTATTGGACATATTCTGGTTTACAACTTCTTTCGTGACTTGGTTGTATTTTATCAAACAAGCTCCCAAACAGAGAGTGTCTCTCTTGGCGTAAGGTTCACATTCGTGTCTCAATTCCTCCCAGTTGTCTTGCGTGTATTTAGCGATATCTACGTCGGCAATCTTTCTCAAATTCGCGGGGAGATTGGAAGAATTTCCCCATGCAGCCAAACTAGAGGATTCGTGTTGATGGGAACACGTGAAATTAATATGTTACCCTTTATTTCTTTCTGTCTTTTCCATTTTTTCTGTAAATCTTCATCTGTGTATGGATTAGATAAAGGAAAAGATAGAATTCCTCTGGGTGTTTTTAAAGGGCAATGCGTTAGTTTTTTTACATTTTTAAGCACGATCCAGTTGTCGAATCCACTACCGTTATGAGAAATTAATATTAATCTCTTTCTATCATATTGACCTAAATATTTCAACATTTGATCTATACAATCTGTACCTACAAATAGTTCTACTACATTCATTAGTTTATCATAAAATTCTTCTGGAACATTATCAGTAGGATTTATATTTGGAAAGATATTTTTTATCGTTTCTAACTTTTTTCTTAGTTTTTCTAAATTAATTAAAGTGCAGGCATAAGGAATTGCTCTTCGACTGTTTTTTTTCTGAATACGTTTCGCAATCCCAAGCGAATAACGCATCATCACTCATACTCGAAAGCACGTTTAGTTTGAGGGGTGAAACCTGTGTTACTGCGTTATCGTCTCTACACGTTTTCCACACCTGTGCGTAATTGTCTTCTATTTCTTGAATTCCCAAACTTTTTTTTGGCTTCTTCTAATCAGACAGAAATGCGAGTTGTGTAAGTAAAAAACCCAATCTAATTCATCGTGAACGTCTCTGGGATGAAAATGTCTGTTTTTGGGATTATAAATTTGAAACGAAGTGTTAAATTTCTTGTTGAATTCCTTCATTCTAGCACAAGTCATCACTCCTTTTCTATTTGCTTTTGAAAACCCGTTGATGTATTCTTGAAATTTACACGTTAAATCTTTGTTCAAAACACGATTGACGCATTTGATAAAACAGTGACCATCTGTAGGTATGTAACAATTTTCGCCTTCGTGTCAATTTATCTTTTTAAGTAGATCAGTTCCTCCTCTACCAACTCTCGATCTTTTTATTTCTTGGAAATTGTCTTTCATTAAAATTATTTTTCCTGTAAAATACCAATCGGAAGCATCGGATTTTTTGTCCATATTTGAAAAGATATTGTGAAAAGTTTTGGCATTGAAACCGAGGAGTGACATGTATTGTCTGTGATTCCCTTCCTCGACTATCTCTCCATCTATTTTAATTTGTCCTTTGAATGTTTTAAATTTATCAGAGATAGCCTTGGCGTTTTCTATCAATGTTTCATCGTGTTCGATTTTATTCATATTTTTTTTTAAGTATATATTTTTGATTATTTCTTTATTTTGACCGCTGATATTTCTATATGGAATTTTTCCAAAATTTCATTGAATTCTTTTAATTCTTCAACTGTTATGTTCTTGTCTTCTCTCGATCTTTCGAAAAAGGTGTACAATTGATTAAGATACATATTCAAGATATCCGTTTTCTTTTTATAATGAGCTTTCTTTTTGCTCGTGAAACCTAAAGTGATGAGGCCGCAAGAGGTCGTTTGAACGGCTGTTAATGCAGCCAATACGGTTGGGACGATGACCGGAAGCATTAATCCACCAGTCACGGCCGTTGCCACCGTTACTCCTACCGTTAGAACTGTGCTCGCTGTTTTGAAAAAAGAATCGATTCTACTCCATGTTTTCCTGCATGTACTGTCTCAACTTTTCAACTCTTCTTGTTTGTCTATCATGTATTGTTGTCTGCTTTCGAGTTCCATTTTTTAAGTCGTTAAATTAAGTGAATTTCCGATAAAAGAAACCACGGAATATCGTATAGAGTTTGCTTGTTTGGCCTAGCATTATTATATTTGCGGGTATTAAAAGTAAAAACATTTACGAGTACTAACGACATTTCTTTTTTCGTATGGTCCTCTTTAAGATGATAGGAATATTTTATTTTTTCTTTTTCGATGTTTATCTTGGCTCTAAAAATAAAACCACCACCTTCAAGGATGGAGTCTTCGGCAAACGATAAATGTAATATAAAGTCTCTTTCTTGTTGACTTTTATGAACATCGATCGAGGTGTATTTTTCACCTAAAGCGAAATACAGTTTTACGTATTCAAAGTCTGTTGTTCGTAAAAACTCGTGACTGCTCGAATCTATTTTTCCGTGTACGTGTAAGCGTCGTGGAACTTTGACAATGTTGCTTGATGGTGGATTTTCTGTCTCCAATATCATATCTAAATCTTTGATTTGAATTCTACTTATATCATTATTTTCTACTTCCAATTTAAAGGTGTTTACATATTTACCATTTTTCGTTTCAATTTCATAATTGTTTTTATTATAAAAACTTATATTCTCTTCCAAATTACCATCATTGAATAATGAAATATGAGTTCTGGTCCTACCGGTTTGTTTGAGGACTACTTTATTGACTTTAACCTTCATGGGAAACTCTATTTGAATCAGACAAGTCTCAAAAAATCGTCATGAATTCTAGATACCAAAAGATTGACCTGTTCTTTAATATAATTTTTCATATCATCTCGAAATTTATTTTGAAGAAAGTTTTTAATCATACCCACTTCTTTTTCTAATTCGTCCGTGATTTTAGTATCCAAAGCAGTCAATTGTTGTTTCAACGTATCTTTGTCAATGGGAAGTGTGTTAATTATATCTTGAACATCTGATTTTTGCTTCGCGATCTTTTCGTTCAAATTGGATATCGAATTTTGTAACTCGGTTTTGTCCGCGGTCTTGTCTAGTTCTGCTAGCAATTCGCCAAGTTTTCTTTCCAAAGCGGTTAGTTTTCGTTTCAACCTATCCTCGTTTACATTTGGGATATCTATTAAACGTTGGACGTCTATTTTTACCTTCGTAATCTTATCGTCTAATTTAGATATTAAATTTTGCAACTGACTTGTTTTATCCACTTGAATAAGACGTTTCAAACTCGTTAACTCTTGTTGTAGTTTGGGTTCGTTCACAAGATTTTTAATATTTCGTCTGAGGTATCTTTTCACGTCATTTATTCTATTTTCAACATGGTCCTTATCTATTTGAATTTGATCCAGTAAATATTTCTTGTTCACGGCATCGTTATCGTTTCCTGGAAACTTTAAATTAGTTATTTTGAAATTGTTCATATCGATATCCCCTTGTAAGGTGTCTCCGATTTGATCTACGAAAAAAGGTTTCGCTTTGTTTATAAACGTCGTCATGGGATTTTTAGATTCTAGAGGTAAAGACCCTAATCCAAACTTGTTTGTCATTTTTATTGAGTTAAATTTATTATTATTTCTTCAAACTTTTCTACCAAACTCAACCGATATAAAACCCAAAGCGACAGCTGTCCACACAGCTTTTGTCCTGGCATTTGAATTTGAAACGTAGAACATTTGATTGGTTTGCTAGTCAATTTCGTTATCTCTTCTGTCGGTTCTAGACCGAAGGAATCAAAGAAATAAAAGTTATTCGAAGAATCTTTGTGTAGAGCAGAGTGATGAACTCCTTTTTGATCCGACGTGTGAATGTTTGTGATCGCGTAAAATTTACCTTTCTTGTATTTCAGTTCATCAATTTCATCTCGCATGCAATAATAAAACGGCGATACGTTCAACTCTTTGGCCCATTTCACAAGTTGAAAGTTTGTGGTCGTGTCTTTTCCGTATTTATCGAGAAATGCATTCATTTTTTTAAGTTGATTTTTTTTAGGTGTTTTTCGAAGTAGGCGGTAAGTATTGCTGAAGACCCAGTTGACGAAATATATACGTAGTTTGTGTTTGAAAAAACTTGTATAACAGTCTGATAAAACACATTCAATAATATTTTGAAGATAAATTTACATTTAAATTTAAAAAATCTTAATTTAAGAGAGCGTAAATGCTTGTCGACATCTAAATTTCTTAACCTTTCATCTAAATCTTCATTTTCGAGATTCATTTTTAAAAGTCAGTTTTTTGAAGTTCATTTTGATAAAACCTTCCTATGATTTGTTCTTTGTCTTGATCGATCAATTCATACGTGGGAGGTGATGTGGTGTTTACTTTATCAAGGATGAATATCTCGTTAGTCCAATACCCGACGTGACCTTTCTGAAACAATGATTTATATTTAAAAATACGAACTCGATCTCCAACTTTGAATTTGGGTTTAATATTCAAATTGCTAATCTCGTTTTCAAAGTTGTTTCGAGTGTTGACGGACTTTATGATATACGGGTTATTCCAGGCTTGCGTTGGCGTCACACCTATAGACGAGTGTATTTTGTTATTGTATTCGTCGACAACAACTGGCAATATTTTAAGCCATTTTTGAGATTTCAATTCCGTGAATTTCTTGAATAATTTGCTTTTAAGAGTCCTGTTGAATCTTTCTATCACTACGGCCTTACCTTCGTTATGCGTGCTGTAAATTTCAAACCCCAGAGATTTCACATTTCTGTTGTAGAATTCGCTTCCTTTATCAACTCACAACTTTAGGGGTCGTCTGTCGGATTGTTTCATTATGGTTTCGAATGCTTGTTTGACAGTCAGAACCGATTTGTTTTTCAAGGGAAAAACCCAAGCGTATTTCGTGTATATGTCGATCACCGTCAAACAATACTTGTACCCTCTCTCTACTGGCATGTTGATTAAATCGGCTGACCAAATTTCATCTTTATCAAAAACTTTGACTTTGAGGTAATGTTTGTTTTTTTCGAAATTCTTTGTGAATCTGTCTGCTATGCCCATACCCAATTTCAATTTTGCCTTCAAGAGTTTTATGATAAGAGCCCTTTGTAATTTCTCTTTGAAAGTGGGATAGGGAATATTTTCGAGTTTGTCTATCATTTTTGGTGTCTGAATGTTATGTCTTTGTTTCTGTACAGTATGTCGTGTTTGAGCGCTACTGCGTCAACTCTATTAACGGGTTCTTCCCCTGGTTTGGGATTATCATTTTCGTCTAAACGCAGATCTAACCTAGTGCCTGGACCTGTATAATTGTGACCTGGGAGATGTTTTTCTCCGGGATATTTTGCCCATGGGAATCCAGGAAGAGAACCCAATGACTTTTGAATGTCTCCCGCACCGAAATACGTTTTAGGAGGATGGACATTTATTAAAGACATATTTGTTCAATAAACACCATATATTTTTAATACGAAAGATTTAATACAAGTAGAAAACTATTCAAGCGTTAGAAATGAATCATTAGATCTTTTCACTGCATCTACTCCTGAGGAAATTTGTTGTTTGAGACAAAATTGGCCACTTTGGGGATGAGAGATGTTAGCGCAGAGAAGAAACCGTCTCCTTTGAATTTTTTTTGTTCGTGTTTTAAAATTAAAGACATTTTTAATGTGATTATTTGATACTGTATTATTATAGTGAATCTTGTCTGTGGTTTGGGTAATTTATAATACAGTTTGGAGGAATCTGTTATGATATATTTTTTTAACAGTTTGGGAAGTCTGTTATAATACATTTTTAACAGTTTGGGGAGTCTGTTATAATACATTTTAACAGTTGTGTCTTTTCGGATATGACGCATTGAAAAAGCTGCGCATGCGCAGAATTGAAATGCGTCATATCCGAAAAGACATATACCTGCCATCTCAAAACAGGATCAAACTGGATGCGCAATATCTGAAAAGACATATACTACTGCCTGCCTTGTTTTGAAAAGAAGATACAACGAAAATACAATACAGAGTACGATTTATATAGAGAGTACGTTATATATACAGGGTACGTTATATATACAGAGCACGTTATATATACAGAGTACGTTATATATACAGAGTACGTTATATATACAGAGTACGTTATATATACAGGGTACGTTATATATACAGAGTACGTTATATATACAGAGTACGTTATATATACAGAGTACGTTTTATGTGAAATATTGATATAGATATGATTCCAAAATCGGGCTACGATCATACTTTTTTTGTGTTAATCAAGAATATTGAATTTCAAACGATTTTTGACACGGAGTTTTGCGTTACCGGTAGGCCTACCTCCCTTGTCTAACTGCATGGTGCCCCAAGCGGCGAGACTTTCTGACCTATTCAGCACCATGTTAAATACATATCTGGCCAAAATCTTGTTTAGAAGTGGAGATATAACGCAAAAGTTCGAAGTGCATACATCGCCAGAACATGCATGTAACTCCTGATAAATTACCATACACTATAGTCTATTCTTTTAAAAAAATAAAAAACATTTTGTTGGTTATTTGTAATGAATATCTATGCGTAAAGAATAATAATTCCGTGTTATTTTTATTAGCGACGCAAAGCTAACGTGGCAAATAGTCTTATGAGGGATTGTTTGCCACGTAGTGATAAATACCCTCAGCTAATATAATTTATGTGAAATATAATGTCCATGTCATAAGTATTATTTATTGAATGTTTCATTGTGAGATTTTCCTTAATGAGAGACAAATTTTCTTGCTCATTGGAAACGTAATCGTAAAAATTTATCTGGTTCATGCGTTATCATTGATGAGAAGAGAAAATGGTTTTCACCATCATTTTGCTCGTAATCACATTAATAATGACGGTATCGAAGACAGCATTTTATGTTTCTCTTCAATTTCCGGTCAATTACTACTTCCAGTTTTAATTAACTTGTGCGGCATCATTTCAATTTTGGTAACTTTACATTTGAGGGATCAGCACACAAAATGCCGTCAGCATTAGTTATTTTGAGTGAAGGAGCAGAGGAAATGGAAACTGTCATTAGCGTTGATGTTCTCAGACGTGGAGGGGTAATAATGGAGTTTTTTAGTCCGAAATAGTCGGAAATTCTTAACTTTACCATTTTGTTTTCTTTAAATTAGAAATAGGATAAATAGGTGTATCTATTATGTAGATTTATTTATTAATACTTAATGCATTAAGTTTCCCATTTCACGAAACTGCATTGGATGTTGGATCAGACCCTTATTGAAATGTCCCTTCCTTGCTTGACCTATGGTAATTGATTAGGGTATTTTCAGAGTAGGGCAACTGAGCCTCAGCTTCAGTCAGAGACCTAACCAACGCACCAACCTACTGCCCACTATCACTGAAACATAGAGCATTTGCCGGCTTCTAGTTTTTGTCACTGCTACAATTTATATTTGAAATGAACAGATAGAAGTTACTATGGCGGGCCTGGTGGGTACAGATGCTGTGGTATGTAGCAGACAAGTAAGTCTTGTACCTGATAAAAGTTTGGAGGAGGCAATGAAAGGTGGACCGTATGATATTGTGGTATGTCCTGGTGGGGCAAAGGGAGCCCACAACCTATGTGAGGTAAGGTTTGAGACACTCCAAGGTCGTTGAGTGCATTTAGCAAATAAACAGAAGGATTAAAATCTTAAGATATCGATCCAGTGTGACAGTATTAAAACTTTTCAGACAAGGTGGTCAAAAGTTCTTACGATGTTGATAGTAGCGTGATATATATGTCAGGTTTTTTTCAACGACATGACATATCCGACATTTTATAGGCTACCACTTCCCAAGGAGTATAGATACTCCAAGCCACTTCCCAATTCTCACAGCAACGCGATGATTTAAGACAGATTTAAGACTCATTCCCTTTGATCTACGTTAAGATAATCGTCCGTCATTGATGTTTCAGTCTGCAATAGTTGGTAAATTATTACAAGATCAAGAGTCTAATGGTAGATATATCGCCGCTGTATGTGCTGGTAAATATAGATTTTGCTTTGTTGGGTGGATGTGACATGTGGAAAATCTTTTCAACCCGAATACATATAATACCATATAATTAATTACGCAAGGTTTGCCTGTTACCCTGTTATGCTGCCCTTGATCCTTGAGAAAATGCTCCCAAACCTACGTATTTCCCAAATTTTCATTTTTATTATACAATATAGCGGTTTGATTTGATTGTATGCTAGCCGATACAACCTATTGGACCTATATATAAGATGCCCCTTTTCACTCCATGTGATATGCTATCTTTGTCCAAATCGGTTGTATAGAAAGTGTAAATGTTTTTGTTAGGCCCAACAGCATTGTTACAACATGGGATAGGAAAGGGAAAGAAAATAACGTCACATCCAGGTGTTGCAGACAAACTAAAATCAGGTAAGAAAAACAATTCTTCTTACATATCGTTGAAGTAAGTATATCACATTACCGTCAACATAAGCGAATCTTCAGCAGCTGGTTGCTGACCACCAGTAATAAATTACCGCTCCGTCACACCGGACTATTTTGGTGATCTTACAGCGACAAGAAAATTAACTAGATCGCCGAGAAAAAGTTCCTTTAGAAATTACAAATCATACCGCGTCCTATGCGACCATACTGTCGTCCCACGATGCGTCCACAAAGACTGTTACGCACTAAGAGTTTTCGATATAGATCTATGGGCTTTGTAAGGACGTCCACCATGGATCTCGTAGCGCTCCCATCTCACTTATTGGGTTCTCACTTGCCGTTCTGTAAACTGAAACGAATAGCAATGGTTTTTGTGGCAGATCATACAAGAAAGACATGATTCAAACATGGTAAGATTGTCCAAAATAAACGCAGCTATCAATGGCGACAATGGAGAACACCGCACAATGTCTGGTGCTTACATCACTCTTGTGACCAATTTTCCGTTGAGATTGCAGTCTAATAAGGACACCCATTTAGGTATGACTGGGGTATCGTGAAGGACAGCTCAAACCACTTTAGTTAAACGAGGGGCTATTCTTTTTTTACAGGAGGTTACAACTACAGTGAAGATAGAGTGGTACAGGATGGAAAGATCATCACAAGTAGAGGTCCAGGAACATCTTTTGAATTCGCCATAAAAATTGTAGAAGCTTTAGCGGGAGCCGAAAAAGCTAACTCCTTGATCGCACCTATGTTATTAATGATGTGAATTGATATATTATTGAACTTTTGCCATGTATTTAAAGTTGAGCTTTTCTACAATTTTACCCCGAATAGCCACTTTTCGACGTGAGACCGTTGGCTACTGTACAATGTATTACTCAACAGGTGACTCCTTCGGATTGTTGTTTAATTTTCGGATTTATTTGATTTTTGGTTTAAATACAATTTTCTCAAATGTATTGTAGACGAAACAACGCGTCTGACATGGTTAACACGTATCATCGTATGTATTGTAAACAAGAGTAATAAAAAGTTATAACGCGATGGTTGTAGATTATTAAATGATCTTCAATTTGTTAATATGTTAACTTATTTGTGTGTATTTGTTTGTTGCTGAAACTTATACGAAAAACATCAGAGATGTAACAAATTTGTTCGTTTTTCATCCCATACTGAAATGTTACAACTATTGAATTTACAAGAAATGCTGAAAGTCTCAGGATACTCTGCTGGAGTTATGTCCCTTGGATGGTCCTTTCAATGCAGACGCGAACAATGACAGCATCAAGCAAATCGATTTCTCTTTAATTGACTGCAGGCCATTTTGATGGTTCTTTGTCCTTCGATTGATTTTTTGATTGTTTGATAGCTTGCTAACACAATGATAATCTACTGTTGGGAGTAAACAAGCATTTCCAGAAACATCACGTTTACATTATTGTTAAGGAAGATCCAGGTTGCAAAGTCAACAAAAATAATACTGAAATTCGTTACGCTTTCTTCATTTTAGTTACCATAGTATCAAACAAACATTGCAACATCATACCGAATGTTTACTTTATGAAAAGAAATTCCATGTCTAATGTCGAGAGGCCTACATTACATGAAATATGTAACCGAGACACAAAAACACTTAAAGGGACAGTTCGCCTCCCGTTTGACTAATTATACTTTAATCTCGAAACGCGAATTTGTTAAGCTAATCAGTAATAGTGTTTACAGCTCACCGTCGAAATTCGAGCTTTCAAATCCATTGCGTCGAGAATTATCCGCCTTAAAATGTTAAAATGACAGCTCGTCTTTACTTGAGACTCAGCCATGCTTGAAAAGCCAAATTATATAGAGATAGAGAATTCTTAGTTCGGGGTATTTTTGTAGGAATTAATTCTGGTACTTCTGAAGACTATTTACGTATATTCAATACCAAAATCGGCCCCTGAAAATGGCAAATCTGTCCCTTTAACTCCTATATCGATTTCATTAGTTCTCACAGCTATTCTGATGGGCAGTGTTGGAGCCAATATTTGCAGCCTACCGTAAATGGACCAAAGAAACATAATTTAACCATTCCAGCACATACATACTTGTATAGAGATGGTTCACGGTTATAACGATTGCATGCTGACAAATATAACTATTGCCTCTGCCTGAAATACGTTGACTATGAGAAAAAGAAGAAGACTGTCAATCCAGTGGCTCAACTAAATGAGTTCTGGCCCGTAGACTTAAGTGGGATGGGGGCTCTCTCCAGGAATTTTTTCTTAAATTATGCTTTACTGCATTTTATTCTGGGTGGGACTCCCTTGGACGTGTGGGTCCGTGGACTTGGACCTGGTTCAACCAGTCCCTATGGTAGTCGAGCCAGCGTGTCTATCTAGGTTTAACGGTTAATAATCTAACAATTAAGAAAATCCATGAGAAAGAAAGATTGAGGAGAAGAAGGTTAAATCAATACATCATTGATTATTAAACTGGCAGTAAATAAACTGTGACAGTTCGCTTATTACTGTAAACACTGTAACAGATTTACCGATAAATGGCACTTGAATCGTTTAGTGAAAATGTCCTTCTTTATAAGACTCACGACGCTAAGGACGCTTCCTGTTTGAAATACTACGAGACTGAAATTACTATTTGAAGGGACAGCAAAGAGAATTCAGGTTAGTTAATCATGTAGATATTAGTCTGTCAAAGATAGTTTCTGTTTGTATCATTCAATTTGTACTTCATTGCGTGTTTCGACCCCTAGCTCGGTACACTCTCATGATGGGCTGTCCACAGTAGTGATCAGTTACCGCGTATCGGTGGTGGTTTTCCAGCTACTGTTGTTCTTTTCATCCAATCTCAGCTGCTGAATCTCCCTGTGACTCCCAATTCAAAGAGTATTCTCAACACTGACTGATGTCTTCAGGTTGAAAATAAAAATGTATAATGTGTTACATTCACAAGACGTTGTTTTTGCCTTACATTCAATTTGAAGAGTAAATAGGATAGTAATATTATTGTCTATTGTTTCAATACTATGTTATGTATTAAACCTGACATTAAGCTGTTAACTTGCCAACTAAAATAAAAAGGCATATATCTTTAGTTACAAAATATACCTGCAACTAATCAACATAAATTAGTGATCTGTTGGCAGGAAGTATGGAGGATTACGATTTGGAACTCTTATATAATATTCTGCTAGTGAGTCAAATTTTTTAAAACGTTTTGTTTAGTGCTAGCGTTTCTGTGATCTGGATAATGGTTGACAAATATCTATTGAAAATTAATTTGATTAATTACAGGTTTATTAGTATTGTGATTCAAGTGATAAGAAATGTCACGGCTATTGATTTTCTTCAAGTATTTAACTAGTGCGATAATTGTATTTAATGATTCACTCACTTGGGGTTTTAATGAATTTACCGGTACGTTGTAAAGACATGGCCTTTCAATTAGTGGAATGGTATAAAGTATTTGAAGTGAAGTGAAGGAAAATCAGTTTGTACTAATCTGTATCTAATTGTTTAGATTGAAATACAATATGTTTTTGGATATTTTGAATGTTTCATGATTATCAATTGATTTTCTAATTAGTTCTGGATAGTTATTTGAAACGATATATAAATAAATCAAAGTGATTAATATGCGAATTGTAAGATTCTTTCATGATTTGTTGGGCATGTTAGTTTTATATGAAATAGAATGAAGTTTAACATCCTACTCTTCATGGGCTAATGAAGACTGATAATGCCATGCAGTGTGCAATAAGGGGAATTTTGTCAGATATGTCAGTTACAGGAAATAACTTATTAAAAGTAAATAATGGCTTAAGTCATATAATGTTATGGTTATTAGCAGGTTTCTATAGAAAATAAGGTAATGGATTATCGCAATAAGCAAATGAGGGCTGGTGACAATTGATACACCTTGTTCCTCGTCGTTGTGAACACAGATATGAATAGGTACAGATACAGATAATTCAATAATTCCTCTAGACTTAAACTTGTATATATGATTCATATTTACCGTGGGTGTTTCCTTTTCATAATGATATACTATTTTAAACATAATATTTAGATCGTTATATAGATATAAGTAAAACAAAAAATTGCATATAAATAACATATAACTTGTAGGCTACTTCAATTTGACCTTTTACATAATTACACATGAATGACATTTCGGTACAATTTCTGTATTGTTTTTAGAAGTAGAATATAAGATTATCTCAGGGTAAGGTTATAAACATGTCAGTTAGTGGATGGTAAATATAGATACAGGATGAATGACTAGTTGTTATATATTCTGTTTTTTTTACCTCACAATTTCTAGTATAAGTAGAAAATGATACGTGACCCATGTTAAATGGAATTCCTCATTTTTATGTTCTTAAGAATCTGTGAGTTTTATATATTTTTACAGATGATAATCCTCCTCGTGACATCATCTGGTATAATACTATGAATTTTTGGAGATAGAAGGAACCACCCAAACCATTTTGTGAGTTATCTAGGATGATATTGTAGTTATTTTGGTTGGAAGATATTGTAGTTATTTTGGTTGGATGATATCGTAGTTGTTTAGGATACCATCGTACTTATTTGAGGTTATATTGTAATTATTTGGGATAATTTCGGAGGTATTTAAGATGATATCGAAGTTATTTAAAACGATATCGTACTTAATTAGGATTAATTATGTTATTTATTTATTATGATGATATCGTAGTTATCTAGAAATTTATCGTAGTTATCTTGGATGATATTTTAGTTATCTTGGATGATATCGTAGTTGTTTTGGATGATACTGTAGTTATCTAGGATGATATTATGTATTTAGGGTGATATTGTGGTTATCTAGGATCATATAGTAGTTATCTAGGATGATATGAATTTGGGATGATTCGTAGTTGTTGTAGCTGTCTAGGATGATATCATGTATTTAGGATGATATCGTTGTTATCTAGGATGATATTGTAGTTATTTAGGTTGATATCGTAGCTATTTAGGACGCTGACCTAGTTATCTAGGATGATAGCATGTATTTAGGATGATGACCTAGTTATCTAGGGTGATAGCATGTATTTATGATGATAACCTAGTTATTTAGGACGATAGCATGTATTTAGGAAGATATTGTAGTTATCTAGGATGATTTCGCAGTTTTTTGGGTGATATTCTCGTTATCTAGGATGATGTAATGTCTTTAGAATCATGCTATAGTTGTCTTGGATGGTATTGTAGTTATTTGGGATGATATCATGTATTTGGGATGATATTATACTTATCTTCGATGATATCATGTATTTGGGATGATATTGTACTTCTCTTGGATGATATCATGTATTTGGGATGTTATTGTAGTTATCTAGAATGATATCATTTATTGGGGTGATATTGTACTTATCTTGGATGATATCATGTATTTGGGATGGTATTGTACTTATCTTGGATGATATAATGTATTTGGGATGATATTGTACTTATCTTGGATGATATCATGTATTTGGGATGGTATTGTACTTATCTTGGATGATATAATGTATTTGGGATGATATTGTACATATCTATATCTGATATCGCAGTTGTTTTGGATGATATTGTAGTTATCTAGGATGACATCATGTCTTTAGAATGATACTATAGTTTTGTTTGGATGGTCTTGTAGTTGTTTAGGATAATATCATGTATTTGGGATGATATCGTAGTTATATCGTAGTTATCTAGGATGATATCGTAGTTATATTGTAGTTATTTAGGATGATTTCATAGTTATCTAGGATGATATCCTAGTAACTAGGGGGGATATTGTAGCTATCTAGGATAATATCGTAGTTATCTAGGATGATATCATAGCTATCTAGGATGATATCGTAGTTATCTAGGATGATATCGTAGTAACTAGGGGTCATATTATAGTTATTTAGGATGATATCATGGTTATCTAGGATGATATCACGAATTTAGGATGATAATGATATCGTTGTTATCTAGGATGGTATCATAGTTATATCGTAGTAATCTAGGATGTAGTAACTAGGGGTGATATTGTAGCTATTTAGGATGATTTCATAGTTATCTAGGGTGATATCGTAGTAACTAGGGGTGATATTGTGACTATTTAGGATGATATCATAGTTATCTAGGATGATATCGTAGTAAATATGGGTGATATTGTAGCTATCTAGGGTGATATCATAGTTATCTAGGGTGATATCGTAGTTATATTGTAGTTATTTAGGATGATTTCATAGTTATCTAGGATGGTATCGTAGTAACTAGGGGTAATATTGTAGCTATCTAGGATGATATCATGTATTTGGGATGATATCGTAGTTATCTAGGATGATATCGTAGTTATATTGTAGTTATTTAGGATGATATCGTAGTTATCTAGGATGATATCGTAGTAACTAGGGGTCATATTATAGTTATTTAGGATGATATCGTAGTTATCTAGGATGATATCGTAGTTATATTGTAGTTATTTAGGATGATATCGTAGTTATCTAGGATGATATCGTAGTAACTAGGGGTCATATTATAGTTATTTAGGATGATATCGTAGTTATCTAGGATGATATCGTAGTTATCTAGGATGATATCGTAGTAACTAGGGGTCATATTATAGTTATTTAGGATGATATCATAGTTATCTAGGATGATATCGTAGTTATATTGTAGTTATTTAGGATGATATCGTAGTTATCTAGGATGATATCGTAGTAACTAGGGGTCGTATTATAGTTATTTAGGATGATATCATAGCTATCTAGGATGATATCGTAGTTATCTAGGATGATATCGAAGTAACTAGGGGTCATATTATAGTTATTTAGGATGATATCATGGTTATCTAGGATGATATCATGAATCTAGAATAATATCGTAGTAACTAAGATATTCTAATTAATTTTGGATGAGTGGAATTGTGTAGTTATCTAGGATGATAAAATCACATTATATATATATTTAATAAGCACGTGCTGTATCGGGTAAAGAAAACTGACTCTTGACCTTTCGAATTGTGTAGTACCATTGAAATACTAGACATGACGCTTGTTGACCTTCTTGAAAGACTTTGATTATTAGATTGTTGCAAATCTGTAGATAATGAGAATAATCATATAAAGTTCATTGTTGTAAAAAATAAAGCGCCAGTAGTCTTATTGTCAATCTAAGTTGGTTTTCAAGGAAATGAAAATGTTCCCCGTCGCGTTCAACTAAATTATAAATCATCAGCATCATTGACAGTATTGATTATTTCATTTTTAATGTCAATGCTTTCAGTAATTGCTTCTATATAGAGACTTATTAAACCTGTAATTGTCATTAAATTATTTCTTGCAGAAACAGTGATTTGATTTAGATGCTATCGGGATTGTAAACGGGTTTGGTTATGAAACTTAAACTGATGCAGCTGTAATCAAAATAATAAATCAAGATTGTACTCAAGTGTAGCAGTGATCAAGATAATCAACTGGATTAATCAAAGCACTTTCTGTATAATTTTTCAAGAGTGTAAACCGGATTAATCAAAGCTACTTTCTGTACAGTAACCAAGATTGTAATGCAGTTTAGCAGTGATCAAGATTGTAGACTGGATTAATCAGAGCTACTTTCTGTACAGTAATCAAGATTGTAAACTAGTGTAGCAATGATCGAAATATAAAAGTGTAATCAAAGCTACATTCTTCTGTCTGCTGCAAGTTATCGTGATCAAGATTGCTAACTGATGTAATCAAGATATTGAACTGGTGATCAAGATTGTTAACTAATATACGCAGTGCTGTAGAGGCAAACAAGTCTGTTAATTGCAGTGATAAAGTTTTTTACTGGTATAGCTTATGTAATGTAATCAGGCGAGTTTTCCCTGGAAATAATCGCATATTTACATCTTATCATTGGCAATCTGAATTCAATTTATTAGAGAAAGAAGTTAATTATAGTGAGAGGCTGGGTATTTATTAGTGATTCTATTTTCAGGATTTACGTTTCATTTGGCAAGAATTTACCATTGTGTTATAAAACCTGTTGAAGTTACGGTTTAATTGACATTTCAACATGTACGCTGAACATAAACAGGATACTCAGAAAGAGAAGTTAGTCTCAACAATCAGAAATCAATGTTTGAAAAATGGTTGTGGTGGAATCAAACATCTGTCGACTGTTTTTAGGCGGATGGACGTGGACTATTCCAAAAAACTGTGTTATAAGGAACTAGCTATGGGAGTAAAATCCTATGGTATGTCGATTAATGACGAGGATTTAAAAGTTTTATTTGACATTCTGGACCATGATAAATCTGGATATATTGATTTTACTGAATTCATGCATCATCTTCGACCTACCATGAGTGTATCCAGAATCCAAGTGATTAATGAAGCATTCAACAAACTAGATGTTAATAACGATGATGAATTGAGAGTTGACGATTTAAAAGGTAGGTTACATTATAGGAAAATCAATTAAAGAGAGCGGTCTTGGTCTGAGATCTTTGTCGCCGATTAAAGTCTTGAGTAAAATCCTGATCTCAAGATTGTCGAGTCCCAAACAGGTTTTATAATATCAAACATCATCCAATCATCATTCATTTTCGTTTCACCCAATCACCCAATCAGATTCATTTTCGTTTCAATTGCATGCTCCACACGTGATTATCGACATGATGGAAAACGACCGACTGGAGATTTTTGTCTCCTCGTATGCCCGTAACCGGTTGGTAAAACTCTTGACAAGACTCTAGTCGGCGACAAAAGTTTCCAATCAAGACCGGTCCTGTGCTCGCACCGTAATACAATATATCTGTTTATCCACTCGATATCTCAATTTCAAAATTAGATCAGTTTTGGGAACTTTATCAACGGAGTGGGAAGTCGATGTTGCAAGAGAAACGAACATTCTACAAAGAGACACGGGTGGAAAAACAAAAACATTTGTATTATTGATAACAAATATCAAGATATATTTTATTAAACAAAGCATTCGAATGGTTAAATACTTTCTTTAATTCCAAACGGGAGATGAATGAAACTTGTTATTAGATAATGCAGATTATGGATATCAAGTGGGGTCACATATAGAAAAAAACCATTTCGATTTGAATTTGAATTATAGATTGTACACTACAGTTTAAGAACTCGTTTAGTCCTTGAACATATATGTACATCATCTTATAGACCTGGGTTAACATATGTATATAGAGTGGGTAAAATAGCTTTACACAACACAACATCTATTATAACAAATAAGACATTGCGATACAAGGCAATAATACAAAGGAAATAATACAAAGTCATATTCAAAGGCCTCTCATATAACAATTCTATTCGCATAAGTGCCACGTTTTTGCAATAGATGTAGTAACAATTACAATTTGAACTGTCTGAAAGACCTAACATAGGAAGTACCATTATTCAGTTATAGCTATTGATTCTATTTTATTCTATGGCAGATTCCATCAATCATTTACAGTTGATCAGTTTTTATCACGCTATATACGTAAGAGTTATAGTAAATGTACTACTGGGTACAGACACAGAACTATTCTACCTGAGAATACATGCTTGAATTCTATTCATAGTTTCTGCAGCAGTAATTGAGAGGTCACAATATCGTTGTTCCATAATGTCAATACCTTCTTTTTTTATACTCCCACATGAATATGTGGTCGCATATTGTCTTCGCCCCTGTCCGTCGGTCCGTCGGTCAACATTTCTTGTGAGCACTATAGAGACTACAGTTTTTATACGCTCACATGAATATGTGGTCGTATATTGTCGTCGCCCCTGTCCGTCGGTCCGTCGGTCGGTCCGTCAACATTTAATGTGAGCACTATAAAGACTACAGTTTTTATCTGATTTTGATGAAACTTGGTGTGATGCTTTAGATTGATAAGATCTCGGTCAAGTTCGAATTTGACATATTTTCGATGAACAGTTTTTGAGATATTGCCCTTGACTTAGAACGCCGTGAAATTTGTTAAAAATTGTTCGTGAGCAGGATTGAAGCTACAGTTTTCATCCGATTCTGATGAAACTTGGTGTGATCATTGGAATTGATAGGATCTCGGACAAGTTCTACCTTGACGCATTTTCGATGAACGGTTTTTGAGTTATTGCCCTTGACTTTGATAAAACGCGTCGGAATTTGCTAAAAATAGTTCGTGAGCAGGATTGAAGCTACAGTTTTCAACCGATTCTGATGAAACTTTGTGTGATCATTGGAATTGATAAGATCTCGGACAAGTTCTAACATGACGCATTTTCTAAGAACGGTTTTTGAGTTATTGCCATTGACTTTGTTAAAACGCGTCAAAATTTGTTAAAAATAGTTCGTGAGCAGGATTGAAGCTACAGTTTTCAACCGATTCTGATGAAACTTTTTGTGATCATTGGAATTGATAAGATCTCGGACAAGTTCTAACTTGACGCATTGTCGATGAACGGTTTTTGAGTTATTGCCCTTGACTTTGTAAAAACACATCAAAATTTGTTAAAAATAGTTTGTGAGCAGGATTGAAGCTACAGTTTTCAACCGATTCTGATGAAACTTGGTGTGATCATTGGAATTGATAAGATCTCGGACAAGTTCTAACTTGACGTATTTTCGATGAACGGTTTTTGAGTTATTGCCCTCGACTTTGTTAAAAAGTGTTGAAATTTGTGAAAAATAGATAGTGAGCAGGATTGAAGCTACAGTTTTCAACCGATTCTGATGAAACTTGGTGTGATCATTGGAATTGATAAGATATCGGACAAGTTCTAACTTGACGCATTTTCGATGAACGGTTTTGAGTTATTGCCCTTGACTTTGTTAAAATGCGTCGAAATTTGCTAAAAATAGTTTGTGAGCAGGATTGACGCTACAGTTTTCAACCGATTCTGATGAAACTTGTTGTGATCATTGGAATTGATAAGATCTCGGACAAGTTCTAACTTGATGCAATTTGAACGGTTGTCGAGTTATTGCCCTTGACTTTGTAAAAACGCGTCAAAATTTGTTCGTGAGCACAATAGAAGCTACAGTTTTCAATCGATTCTAAAGAAACTAGGTGTGATCATTGAAATTGATAAGATCTCGGACAATTTTAACTTGACGCATTTTCGATGAAATGTTTTAACAAGAGATATTTTTGATGAACATTTTTTGAGTTATTGCCCTTAACTTTGTAAACATGCGTCAGAAGTTGTTTTTTGCCCTTGATCTGAGCTGTGTGATTTAATTGTTTGTTGTATTTGGGTTATTGATATTGATTTTAAAAAATTTTGTGGAATTATTCAGCATGAATAATTTCTTCAATATGAGAAAATTCGTACTTTAGTCTCTAAAAACTGTTTTATTATTTCTGACAGCTGCCAGTGGGCGTATGTTACCTTGCAACGCAAGCTATCTTTATAACCGTTTTGAATACTACCTTTAAGAATAAACATAAAATTTAAAATTAGCCAATGAGAAAATATATTATCAATCAATTCTAATCATCAATTTTCAATCAGGTCTGCGGTTCCTGCAATTCCGCTAAAACCAAGCAAAGACCTATAAAATGTATACATATATAGGACCATAAGGCTTTGAAACCAAAGTTTGATGACGTCACTAATCCTAAAATATGCGTTTCACCCTTCGTGATTAACAACGTTATCAAACATACATTTAAATTGCATGCAAATTTTTGTAACTTACAAAAAACAGTTTTACATTTCTTACAAACTGTTTGACAGGAAATGAAATGTAGAAATCCGATGAGATTTCATCATATGAATTGAATTATTTTTTTCTGAGAGGATTATGAAACATTAATCAGGATTTTATCGGAACCGGAAGTACGGAAACTGACATTAAACCATTGATTTACTCTCAAAGTATCGAGGCTTACTTCCGGTAGAAAATATAGTTTCTCACCTGATTTGAAGTGGTAATTACAAAATCAATATCCCGTTTAATATCTTCTGCTTTATGAAGTCTGCTATATTTTTTGTAGATTTTTGAATCTATTTCTGATTCAGTTTCTTGAAGGTGCTCGAAAACGCATGAAAAGTATTTGATAATTGTGGTAAATATTCCTGAACGAGTTCAAAAGAATTGGTTTGCTATTGCATTTCATGTTTTGTCAGTTATTTTATTCTGATAAGACAGTCGTTGAAATATGTTCATTCTGTGCCGTTAAAAGACTTAGGTTGTCATAAGAAATACTATGTGTCAGTGTTTCATTTATAATCAAATCGTTATTATATATGGTAGGTTAATTTTATAATGCTATCAAGCAAAACGATAAAATTGATTTCATAAAATGTTTTTTAGATATCAATATTATTTTTAATTATTCAGTTGACTGTTATTGAAGTGAGTCATGTAGTAATCCAGTCGTTTTACGGACCTTTTCTAAGTATTTGTTGTATAACACCATTTCACAGGATTGTTTTGGTCCCGATCATTTTGGTCTATGGTCGATCGGCCTCATTTTTGAAAAAATAGTTGGCAACCTACGAGTATTATCGAGCACTACATTATACTTTCGAAGGAATGATCGTCTAATTTTTTAACTGTAGAAAAACATGTCCTTGAATAACCGTGTGCCTGCGTGAATACTTGCGTGTAATAGAAACGTGTCGATCTACGAGCGTCCGTCATTTGCATCACTAATTCATCAGATAAACTATAGATACAACTCATTTACTTGATACCATTTCGTAAGCGTTCCTTCCTAAATTTGGTGAGGTTCTGTATAAAACGTGTCATGCATGATGTCATGCGATCGACAATATCACGAGCAAAGGTTCTATTAGGGATGCAAGGAAAATTCATTTCTATTGAAGGGAGACAAATCTTGTACTTTTCTTGAAAAATGACCATGACCACGGTATACCGATGGGTTTATTTATCAAAAATCACAACTATGACCTAGAAATCAATATACACTCATTTCCGTTATTCATTTCAATTATTCAAAATGAATACGATGGAAATGAGATGTTGCATTACGTTCTGCACTTGATTGTGCAACAACAGACAACTGTTAATGGATCTAATGCGCAGCGCGGTGTCATAGTGTTGTGTTATCGAAATGAATAAACGCATTTCCCATGTCAGCAAGTGCTATCTGCATTACTGAAAATGGAAACCCGGGATCCTCAACTGGTAGGTAATATGACATTCCACATGCATGACTTAGTTATTTTCCAGAGACTTTGTACCATCGTACTTTCATCCTTCAAAAGACCTCCACATGTGTCATTAATTTTAGATTTCTCCCTTTTTATAAAAAAAAATGGTTCTGATATGAAAGAAAATCTCTCTGATACTTGTATCAACATAGCAGCATAAAAAGTTGATCACAAAACTTGGTTGTACTTTGATAGCTGCAAATATCATCGATCCTCCATCCGAATAGATCAAACAAAATTCCCAAGTCGGCAGACATTTGAAATTCTTTTCAACACTAGATAAGCCAACAGATTCTTGTTCCTTGTCAATTTTCACAAAGATTCCTTATCTTTCGGATCGAGACCACAATAGTACAATATTGACAGAACTTTCTATTACTACCGACATTAACTGTTTACTAAGACAAGAAAATAAAAGCTTTTCCATTAGCAGGTTCTTATTTTTTTTAAGTCTATTTACCATTCCGTGATATATCCAGGAGAATTCTCCA